TCTAAGCTCCAACGCATGCCCCCGCCAATGGGCAGTGAGCTGTCCTGACACACTGGTATGAGACAGGTCGACAGTCTTGATATGGTGCCAGTGTAAGATGACCGACAAGTCACCCACTACTTCAGTGTTTGCAAGATAAAGATGCTGCAGCTGCGTCAAGGTCTTCAAACTTGATACGTCACCCGAAATTGCGGTGCCTCTTAGGTCGAGACTCTCCAAAAAGGCCATAGTCTGCAAACCTGAGAGGTCGCCGGAAACTTTCGTGTTGTCAAGGACGAGGTACTCCAGGTACTTGATCTTCTGGAGATTGGACAGGTCGCCGGCAGCTTCAGTACTAGAGAGAAAAAGCTCTTGCAGTTCTGAAAGAGTTTGGAGACTTGACAGGTCACCAACAACTTCAGTGCTGTCCAGGTAGAGCTTCTCCAGCTCAGTCAGTTGGTGAAGGCTTGATAAGTTACCTGCAACCTTGGTATTTGCAAGGTCGAGAAACCGCAGCTGTGCAGCCGTCTTGAGATGTGAAAGATCACCGGCCACTTTGGTGCTGGTGAGGTCAAGAGCGGTCAGTTCCGTGATGGTGCGAAGACCGCGCAAATCACCAGCCACTTTACTGTTGCCGAGGTCGAGTACCTTCAGCTGGGTCATGGTTTGGAGGCTTGACAGGTCACCTTGAACTTCGGTGTTGCTGAGGACGAGCGTCTCTAGATGTTGGGCCTGGAAGCTCCTCAAGCTTGACAAGTCACCTGCCACATAGCTGCCACTGAGGTCGAGAACCTGCAGCTGGCTACAAGTCTGGAGATTGGACAATTCACCCGTAATTGGGGTGTTGCTGAGCATGAGCTCTCGCAAGCGGGTGAAGGCGTGGAGGCTCAGCAGGTTTCCACCAACTTTGGTGTTCTCCAGGCCGAGATGCTCTAGCCGTGACAAGCTGTGGAGACATGAGACGTTGCCGCTCACTTTGGTGTTGTCGAGGATCAAGTAATGCAGCATTTGGATGCGCTGGAGACTTGAGATGTCACCACCAATTTGAGTGTTGTCAAGGTCAATCCTCTCCAGCTGGAGCATACCCTGCAAACCCGATAAATCACCGACAATGTCGGTGCCACTGAGGAAGAACTGCTTCAACTGGGTCAGGTTCTGGAGACCTGACAAGTCACCAGTAACCTTGGTGTGGCTGAGAAATACCCCATGCAACTGGGAAAGCCCCTGGAGACTTGACAAATCACCAGCAACTTTAGCATTGCTGAGTTCGAGATACTTCAGCTGTGTCATTTTCTCAAGTCCCGAGAGCTCGCCAGCAACCTTGGTGTTGCCTAAGTAGAGTTTCTGCAGCTTCCTTAGCTTGCGAAGACTAGAGAGCTCACCCTGCACTCCAGTGTTTCGAAGGAAGAGCTCCTCCAAACGGATGAGTTTAGAGAAACTTGACAGTCTACCCACAATTTCAGTCTCGTCTAGGTAGAGCTTCTCCAGCTGCGTCATTCGCTGGAGGCTTGACAGGTCACCCAGCACTTCAGTGTTGCTGAGAGAGAGCTCCTGCAAGCGACCGAGAAGTTCTTAAAACTTAAACATTACACCGGGCCCCCCTGGTTGAGTCAACCCTTTTCCTCATTGGCTACCGTGCGCGCAAAGAGTGTGTGTGTGTGTGTCAACCCCTGTTCCAAAGGGTGCTACCTGTCATTTCTCAACTCGATAAGCAGGGGGACGGGACACCGCTGGCACTGCCCGTCCAACGAAGAGGGTGCCAGTCGGTGCTGAAGCAGTGGAGGACGCTCCACTGTGTACCTGCCTAAAACACACTGACACCACTGGTCCACCCTGCCGCTGTTCGTTAATTCGATGGTCCTTCTTCACGATACTCTCCCACAAACAGGTTTCCCACCGCAGTTCTCAGCCACCGGAGACTTACAGTCAGCCGGGCGAGTGAAACATTGTTCAACAATACTGTTTTGCTGACTCATGCACCTTTCTGTTCCATCGCCTTCCTTCTCATCGTGGGAATTGAGTTAACAGCAAACCAATGTCAGAGTGTGTGCCAACCTCTATTGCATGGCGATCATCAGCATTGTTGGAGGCATTGCCAGCCAAATGGTTCCCCCAACCGTTGTTTTCACTCAGACTCAGGATGATTTCCAGGAGTCACCAGTCACCACAAATTCAACAATCTTTGCTCATCTCATACAATCAATCCAAAAGAAGATGATGGACCACATTATCCGGGCAAAGAGTGGGCCCACATGATTCCGCTTTTTCTGTGCTGATGACAGAAAGCATTCTCCTGCAGCTGCGTCAGTCCATAGACAAGACTTGCAAGTTCCCCGAAAACTCGCGTACTGCCCAAGTGCAGCTTCTGCAGCTGCGTCAACCCATACTGTAGTGACTTGAGAGGTCACCGTCGACCTTGGTGTTGCTGAGAAACAGCTCCTGCAGCTTGGTGAGGGTCTGCAGACTTGACACGTCACCTGCAACTTCAACGCGTTCCACATAAAGCTTCTGCAGCTGAGTGCAAGTTTGGAGGCTTGATAGGTCACCGGCGATGTTGGTGTTGCTAAGCGAAAGTTCCTGCAGTTTGGAAAGGGCCTGTAGGTTCGACAAGTCGCCGGTGACTGCGGTGCTGTTGAGAAAGAGCTCCTGCAGCTCTGTCAGGGTTTCCAGGCTCGACAGGTCACCGACAACTTCAGTGCCATCCAGATAGAGCCTCTCCAGCTTGTTCATTCGATGGAGGCTGGACAGGTCACCCGCGACATTGGTTTCGGCAAGGTCGAGATACTCGAGCGGAGTGATGGCCTGCAGATGTGAAAGATCACCAGCGACGGTTGTGTTGGTGAGGTCAATAGTTGTCAGTTGCGTTACGGTGCGGAGACCGTATAAATCGCCCGTCACTTTCGAATGACCAAGGTCGAGATACTCCAGCTGGGTACTCGTCTGGAGACTTGACAGGTCACCCCCGACATTGGTATTGGCAAGGTCGAGATGCTCGAGCCTAGCAATGGCCTGGAGATGGGAAAGATCACCAGCCACTTTTGTGCTGGTGAAGTCAATGGCAGTTAGCTCCCTGAGGTCATGGAGGCTGAACAAATCGCCAGCAACTTTGGTATTACCAAGGTCGAGGTACTTCAGCTGGGTCATGGTTTGGAGGCTTGAGAGGTCACCTTGAACTTTGGTGTCACTGACTTCAAGATGCTCCAGCTGTGTCATGGCCTGAAGAGCTGATAGGTTGCCGGCCATCTTGGTGTTGCCCAGGTACATCTTCCGCAGCTGGGTCAGCCTGCTGAGACTTGACAGTTCGCCAGCAACTTCGGCGCTGCTCAGAAAAAGCTCCTGGAGCTGGGTGAGATGCTGGAGACTTGATAGGTCACCAGACACTTCAGTACTCCCCAGATGCAGTTTCTGCAGCCTGGTCAGCTGGTGGAGGCTTTCCAAATCACCGGCAATCTGTGCATCCTCGAGTTCCAGATACTTCAGCTGAGTCATCATCCGGATACTTGACAGATCACCCGTCACCCCGCTGTTTCTGAGATAGACGCCCTGCAACTCGGTCATGCTTCGCAGACTAGACAGGTCTCCAGCAACGTTGCTGTTCTCGAGGTCGAGAAATTTCAACTGGGTCATGGCTTGAAGACTTGTCAGGTCGCCAGACACTCTTGTATTGTGAAGATCCAAGTTCTTCAAGGAAATGAACTCTCCCATGTGCTCGTCCAGGCTGCCTTCGATGGCCAGGTTTGCCAGGTCAATCATCTCCACATTGCAGCCAGTCCTAGGTGCAACGCGATTCAAACATGGAAGCAGCCAGCTTGATCGCTGTCAATGGTGCAGGAAAGTCATGTGCTGGCTGTGCCTTCAGTGTGTCAACGGTTTCCAGAGTCTTGCATGCTGGCCTTTTGCACCACTGCGCGGTTATGCAGAACACATGGTCTGCAGGTGCAGTGTGGAATCTGTATATAATTTGCCCTGGTAGGGGCCTGGCAACAAAACTCTCATGAAGGTCATGACGTGCATCAGCATTTGGACTCGCACCATCAACAGCTACGATGGCCACGTTTCACGGGACCTAGCTGTGCTTTCACTGCCCTCACCACCATTCATCCGAGGTTCCATTCGATGCGTCCATCCAAGAAGGGATCCTCAAGCTCATCGATGCCCAACTTCTTCAGCACTAGCTGCAAAGCCGCCCACTGTGGACAGGAGCGCTTTGATGCACCTGGCGCCGATTCCGTTTACTTTCACTACAAATCTGAACAGGAGTTGCAACGGTGCATGGCGCATGAAGGTCCAACCCGCATCGGTGAGTGGACAATATTTCAACATGTCAACCCCATAGGCTTCCAACCACAAATACTTTGAATGGTTTCTACCGAACCACCATTGTTTTACTAAGGATTTTGCACTACAACACCAGGTCCACCATTGGTTTTTATGGTCTTGGACTTCCAGGAAACCCAAAGTGCCGAACATGTGGGTCATCTCAGTATGTGAAAGACTGGTTTGCGCCAAGCTTTGGGCGAGTGGCTTTCAGGATCGAGCTCCAGCGCCTTCTCTTGGATTCGGCCACGTTCCGCGATCACTTGGACGAACAAAATGACCGCCCAGCATCGCAAGGACATACAATATGAACATGAAGTTAGAATTATCACTTCACGAACTCCATCTGTGCCCTAGCAGCCTTGAGCATCAAGCCCCAGCGCGCGGCAAGCACAGAACGTAGTGGTTCCACGTATTTTGGCATGGTTGGAGGGGCTTAAGCATCTACTTAGAATATGGGTTGGGACTATCCCATTGCCAATAAAAGTGGATGATGATGGTTAGTAAAGGCCTTTCTCTAAAACAGTGCTAATTGTTGACCGACTGTTACAGGCAATGGATGGTAATGGGACACCCTCAAAACATGTGTTCCAGAGCGAGAAGTGTGGTGGTGAAACCAGTTTCCCACATCCAGGATGCATGTCATGTGTCCTTTTGTCTCCGCGAATTCCTAGCCGCCTAGCCCTGCAACATGCGCAGCCTGCCTGAAGTCCAAGCACTTCCTGGGCGATCTTCGGATGTCTGCACCGACAATATAAGTTATAATAAATACGTTCAAGCGTATAATGACTGAGCAAACATCAAGAATATATGTTTCTTGATTTGCGGCTAGCACCGCCAAAACTCCGAAAAGGGTCGATCCTTCTGACCATTTGATACAAATCTACTACAGTATTTATTAAGGATCATTTATCGGAGCTTTCCGGCCGGCGCGGAGTTCCAATCAAAGTTCCCATATTCTTCACCCCTTCCACAGTTTCAGCGATCTCTGCCACGTGGCATTTGCCCCTGCCCTTTCGATACACTTGTTCAGCCCTCGTGCTCCCGACAGCTGCGTCGTGCGCAGCTATCGTTGGATCGACCGCAGATCAGTGGAGGACGTTTTTAGGGGGCAAGTCCTGCTGTCAGTGCCTGTCTTGAAGAGCTCTGGATCACGCGTTTGCCTCGTTTTTCCAGGTGCATTGGTCCAAAACAACAAGAAATCTTTTCACCCAGCTCTTATGTCCCACATACATGTGGCATGTCACCTCTTCTTAGCCAAAGGAGTTGCTTCTGCTCTTATATACATCCCCGAACCATCCAAGAGCCTGGATCAGCCCGCTTAAGCCATTTTTTGATGTATCTTGTATATATGTGTTACAGGCATTCTGAATTCTTCTAAAAACATCTAATTACGAAACTCTGAGAACAAAAGATTTGCATTACATAATGCCTTTTCTATTTGTTTCCTGTGTTGACAGGGAGGTTGTGCAATTCCAAAGCTAAACCATCCCCAAGAAAATTGGTCAACTTGACCATTGGAACAACCCTTCCGCGTCATGGGGAAACATATAACAAGAATGCGTCATCCCACTCACAACCTTCGCCAAGGTCGGTGGCACACTCTCCCAAGGTCGGTGATGGACCCCCATCTGTCTACGACATGTAGGGGTTCTAGTGGTCTGTGCTATCTACTCTGGAACCAGTGTAGGTGCTTTCCACGCACGTGGTTCCCAGCCCCCCACCCTCAACGAACTGACCGCGTCGCGACCCGCGGCTCAAGGCACTGAGAAGAGCTGTTCGCAGTCCCATTCCCTTGAAGCTCCACACCCGGAGGCGCGGTAATCACCTGACCACCACGTGAGATGTGCGTTGTTGAGATGTGTGCGACGTGCGGAACCACCCATGTGTCGCAAATCTTGGATCATGCCTGATGTTTCATGATCTTTCTGGACTGCTTTGCCATGGTCTCACCTGGTCCCCAAGGTCAATACAGAAGAAATCAAATCCAGGAACACAACAAGAATCAAAGGATACCAAAAGGAATCAAAAAGGAATCAAAAGGCACACGGGAAGTCCTCATGATACCTACTGTAAGGTGAATGGAACTTCTGTACGGACCAAGGGCAAGCGCCCTATGCTCCCCCAAAGCTCCAAAGGATATGCTTCTCCATCCTTCTCCCTCGCGGGTTCTCCCGTCCAAGCGGCGACGGATTGGCCGGTGACCACACCAACAGGGAAGACCATGTAGACCTCGACTTCATGCACCGTCACACCGCCATAGTACTCTCCAGCACCTCAGCGATGGAGAAAAGAATGTGGGACGGCAAAAAGGCGACTGTTTGTCAGGATGTCTTGTACAAGGACATTGGTACCTGACCCTCCAGCAGGTGCTTCCTGGTGACAACAGGTGCCCACCCAGAAACCACGTGTAAACAGCCTGTTGGAAGGTCCTGGCATACTTACCGCTAGTCTCTCTTTCCTTGCCGGAATGAATCGATCAATTGAATCAATCTCCCTCAAGAAGCGTCGAATCGGACAGCCCGGACAGCCCGGACCCATCCAGCGAGATACCGGCGGGTTTGGGGATGCACGACCCACCTCTCCAAGACCCAGACCGGTTCGTTGCACTCGCGGCACGGTTGGAGACGGAGAACTCCGCGGCGGGGGGTGTCACCTCGGGGCCCTGCAGGAGGAAGGAATCCAGCCGTACCCGCTGTCCGGTCGCAATGAAGCCTTGGGCGTTCAAGGGTCCGGAACCCGTCCGGAACGCGGACGCCGGGACGCGTCCCAATGGGCATCCGGCGTCCGTGACCAAACATAGCCGCGGCCGGTTTGACGGAGGCCTGTGGTGGTCGGGGAGGGAGTTCGAAAACACTCTTCCGAAAGAACTTCGTGCGAGTTGAGTCTCACTCACGAAAGAGATCCCTGGGTGCTCAATGTCCGAAGCAGGGTTTCCCAAATAGATTGGTATATAATTAGAAACGAGTTCCCAGAAATAGGGAAAATTGATCAGATGTTCTATGCATATACACCGGTCTCAACACACAAATAACAATATTGTGTGTGTGGGAGGGGCACCATGGGATAACTTGGCTACTAGTTGTATATAGAATTATTGAGTTTGCAAATGTTTGCAGTTCTGCAACTCGCATCTTACCAAATTCATTTCCAGATTTAGCAACCTCTAGATTCCAGATAGCAGCCTTCCCACATTCCAGGCGACAAGCCGGATACTTACCTAGTTCCCAACATATCACCGCCACTGATTCCTCTGTTCCCAACTTCAGGCTCAATACAGTGTACCTGGTAACCCTGAAGAATTGTAACATCGATTTCGTCAAAAAAACAAAAGGAATTTTAAAAGAACAAAACAACTCCAGTTCAAGAACGGCCAACAGAGAGAGACTCGAAAAAACAAAGCAAAACCAAATTGACACTCAAGAAAATAACGCAAGCGAACAAATCTAGATTGATTGTTTTTGTTGTTTTTTTGAGTCTGGTTTGTTATTTGAGTCGGTATCGTCTTGTTATTTTTCCAAGGAAAAAGTAACAAATCCAGACACAAAACAAAAATAGAACAAGCCCAGACTCGTCAACCATTGGTCAGAGGGCCTTTTGGATTCTTAGAGAACATAGAAGAACGACCGTGTGTGCATTAATTTGCACCGATTGAAGAAGATTGACATCAAGAAGTAAAAGAATTAACTAACAGAAGAAGAAGAAGCATGAGAAGAAGAACCGGAAGAAGAGGCAGCAGAAGGAGCAGAACAATCAGAAGCAGAAACAGTGAGGAAGTCAAGCAAGAGAGAAAAGGAAAGAAGAAAACAAGGAAGAGAAGAAGCAAATGGTAAAAGACCAAAAATGCAGAAAGAGAAGTAAGATCAAAAAGAAAGGAAGGAGAAGGAAGGTGCAAACAGAGGAACAAGAAATACTTTTTAAATCAGCAGCAGCAAATGGGGATAAATAAGCAGAAGCGGAAGGACACGCTGACACGCGGCAGAATTCGCACCCTTGTTGCTGGCCAATGGATGAGTTCGGGCAGCCTCGATAAACCAACACCACCGAAACTGAAGCACCCAGCCCACCCTCCCCAACAAAATCACCCGAAAGTGAAGCTCATTGTGACCGCGAAAAGCCTCGCCAAAAGCCCTCAAAAGTGAAGCAGCCTGGCACCCCGAAACCCTCCAAAGGCCCCCTCAAGTGAAGAGCGGTGAACCCCCAAAACCTCCCTGAACCCCAAAAAATAACACAAAACACAAATTACTCAGCGCCGCTAACGGCGGCGTAGCCCAAAACAAAAAGTAATATATATATATATATATGTGAACTGCCAACCTGCATGTGTGTACCACAGATGTTCACCTCGCACACTGAGCGCCGCGCTCAATTCCCCGTGAGGCGGCTGCAGAACCGCCACAGGAGGTTGAGGGACGCTTCGTCGGCCGCGGCCGGTGGTTTGTTAACATCACTATCAAATCAAAACACAACAACATCATCAATCCCTCTCTGAAGTGGTTCAGTTGCAGCTTAAAAACATCAATTTCGTAAGGGGTGCTCAATGAGTTTTGGTGCTAAGGGGTGCCCAATGAGCACCCTTTGGATGCTCCTCGTACATAGAGAGAGAGAGAGAAAAAAAAAATCAGAAGAACATATGCAAAAAAAACAAGATGGAGCCCACGAACCCGAATGCAAACACGTTCAAAAAGCTACATATGTCCAAATGACACTCTTGTAGGACACTCTTGTGGGTCACTCTTGTAGGAAACTCTTGTGGGACACTCTTACGGGACACTCTTGTGGGACACTCTTGTGGGACACTCTTGTAGGAAACTCTTGTGGGACACTCTTGTAGGACACTCTTGTGGGACACTCTTGTAGGAAACTCTTGTGGGACACTCTTGTAGGACACTCTTGTGGGACACTCTTGTAGGGCACTCTTGTGGGACACTCTTGTGGGACACTCTTGTAGGAAACTCTTGTGGGACACTCTTGTGGGACACTCCTGTAGGGCACTCTTGTGGGATCACTCTTGTGGGACACTCTTAAGGGACACCCTTGTGAGACACTCTTGCGGGACACTGTTGCGGGGCACTCTTGTGGGACACTGTCGTAGGAAACTCTTGTGGGACACTCTTGTAGGACACTCTTGTGGGACACTCTTGTAGGAAACCCTTGTGGGACACTCTTGTAGGACACTCTTGTGGGACACTCTTGTAGGGCACTCTTGTGGGACACTCTTGTGGGACACTCTTGTAGGAATCTCTTGTGGACACTCTTGTGGGACACTCCTGTAGGACACTTTTGTGGGATCACTCTTGTGGGACACTCTTAAGGGACACTCTTGTGAGACACTCTTGCGGGACACTGTTGCGGGGCACTCTTGTGGGACACTGTTGTAGGAAGCTCTTGTGGGACACTCTTGTAGGACACTCTTGTGGGACACTGTTGCGGGACACTCTTGTGGGACACTCTTGTGAGACACTCTTGCGAGACACTGTTGTGGGACACTCCTGTGGGACACTCATTTGGCACACTCTTGTGGGACACTCTTGTGGGACACTCTTGTGGGACACTCTTGTGGGACACTCTTGTGGGACACTCTTGTGGGACACTCTTGTCGGGCACTCTTGTGGGACACTCTTGTAGGACACTCTTGTGGGACACTCTTGTAGGGCACTCTTGTGGGACACTCTTGTGGGACACTCTTATAGGACACTCTTGTGGGACACTCTTAACTCTTGTGAGACACTCTTGTGGGACATGGTTGCGGGACACTCTTGTGGGACACTCTTGTGAGACACTCTTACGGGACACTCTTGTAGGACACTCTTGCGGGACACTCTTGTAGGACACTCTTGTGGGACACTCTTACGGGACACTCTTGTTGCACACCCTTGTAGGACACTCTTGTGGGTCACTCTTATGGGACATTCTTGTCGGACACTCTTGTGGGACACACTTGTGGGACACTCTTGTGGGACACTCTCGTGGGGCACTCATACGGGACACTCTTGTGGGACACTCTTGTAGGACACTCTTGTGGGACATGCGGGACACTCTTGTGGGACACTCATACGGGACACTCTTGTGGGACACTTCCTCCAAAAGTCACGCTGCGAGGCTGCAAGACGAGCGTTTCGTACGAGACTTCCTCCAAAAGTCACGCGTCAAGTCTCAAAAACGAGCGTTTCAAACGAGACTTCCTCCAAAAGTCACACGTCAAGTCTCCAAAACGAGCGTTTCGTACGAGACTTCCTCCAAAAGTCACATGTCAAGTCCCCAAAGCGAGCGTTTCGTACGAGAATTCCTCAAAAACTCACATGTCAAAGTCTGCAAAACGAACGTTTCGCACGAGACTTCCTCCAAAAGTCCAGCGGAAACACCCATCGGAGCACACACATCACGCAGCCCTGCCAAGCAGCTTCGCGATTCCAGCCCCTCCAAACGACACCCGCTCACACGCCAATCCCAATGTGACAGCGACATTCACCTCCACCACAACTCACACCTCCCCATTCCCTGCGCCTGCCACGAATCTTTCCGCGTCCACATGTCTAACGCGCACAAAGTACTGCGCCTGCCACGAAATGTCACCTCCGTCACACATCGCAACCTCACGATTTCCTGCGCCTGCCACGAAAATCCCACTTCCACACCTCAAAACTCGCACAAAGTCCTGCGCCTGCCACGAAAAGTAACAATGTCATCTCATGTGAGCTTCAACCAAATTTGCACCACACCACACGTTTGGAATGATTTCGACCCGTTCTGAGCACACTCCCATCCACCAAAATCGGCATTTCAGCTGAGACTTGTCACGAAAACAGAGCTTCGATGCCACACCCCGAAACGCAAATCCCAATGGCACGGCCACATCCAACACCCCAAAAACACGACTCTCCAAACGCTAATCCCAATGGAATTGCGCAGCAATCTGCAGATCTCACCAAACGCTGCGCCTGTGCAGCGAAATGCATCACGCTTCTTGCGCGACATGTCCTTTTCACGCAAATCACAATGGAATAGCGGTGCAAACTGACACGTGACACATCCATGAAAAGTCACTTGCAAAAGCTTCCCCCAATGGCAGCGCCTTAGCGTCCTACTGCGGACGGTTGCGAACGGTTGCGAACGGTTGCGGACGGTTGCGGACGGTTGCGAACATAGAAGCAACGGGTCGCGAACAAGGCTCTACCCCCAGACCCCCAAGAGTTAAACGAGAACCCTTCGCTACGCATTCGGGAAAAAGAAACAGAAGACGAGAGATATGTGGACGGAGGAAGAAGATATGATATATAAGGGAAAAAGATAGACAAAATGTAAATACATGTAAATACAAACCAGGCGAAGAAAAGGAAGCACAATACAACATAAGGGCGAAGCGTTGGAAGAGAAGGGGAGGGAAAGGGAAGAAGGAAAGGGAAGCAAAGGAGGAGGAAAACGGGAACCTATTTTTTTCCTCCTTCTTCTCTCCGTCTGTTTTTTGACTCCTTGCTTGTCTGGTTCCTCAGGTCCTGCCCTTGCTGCTTGCAATGTTCAGCTTCAATATCGAAGCATGACTGTGTTTTGCCTCAAATTCTGCTCTTCTTATTTTTTCTTCAGCTTCACCTTCATGACTCCCTTTCTTCAATTTGTTCCTCCTTCTGGTTTTCTGTTCTAGACTTGTGTTTCTTCCTTTGTTTTTTTTCGGTATGTTTCTTCGTCCTCTTCTCCTTCCTCTTAGTTTTTCCATCCTCCTTTGCATACATCCCCTGCTTCCTGTCTTTTTGCATCCTCTTTTCTTCTTCTCAGCGCTCTTCATCTCCTTCTTGGGCTTCTAAGTTCGGGCGCCCTGGAGTCCACCTGGTCGTGGTTGAGAAGTCCTGAAGCAGTTACAGCCGCCTGCCTGGAGACCTCAAGGAGTGGCGTCAGTAGTTCTCCAGCATGGGCGGCTGGCTTATGAACTGGAGTCGGCCTGTTTGTGGCTGGGTCACGCACTGGCACATCCTATGCCCAAAATGGCCAGGGAGCCTCGATATTCATGGCGCCGGCGACCGTTAGCGCTCAACGTGTCTATCAGAGTCTATCATCACAGTTTGGCAACTGCAGTGCCAAAAGTGGCCAACTCTTATGAAATTGAGAGAATCCCGGCGTCGACCTGTTTGCGCTTGTGGCCAGATATTGGCACCCCCCAGGTGCCAAAAGTAGCCTGGCAACGTCGAGAGCACACGGCGCCGAAGTCCGTACCGTTTGTTAGCCGTGCTCCGGCACGGCCTTCCGTCTTATGAAGTCGCGAGCATACTGTTCGTGGTTGGGGGTTTCTTGATGAGTGCCACACGTGGCCAACTTCATGAGAATTACATAGTTACGCAATTGCGAGCATCCTTGCTTTCTCAGTACGTCAGACATCGACACCCCCACCGAAGTGCCAAAAATGGCCTCGGAACCTCAAAATCACCCAGGACCATTCTGAAGAGCACTTGCCAAAGTGAAATGGTTGGGCTGTTGACGATCTTGGAAGTGGCCCCACAACTTGGTGATGCAAGTGGTGCAGAACAACTTTAACTTGCATCTTCTGCATCACCTACCACCTAAAACTATTAACCCCACGAAGCTTTGCGAATACTTCACCAGTTCATACTTCATGCTCCTTGACCAGCCTCCCTGCCCTCGACTTCCTTCCGAACTTCTTTGGGACCAAAGCAGCGTTGAAAGGACTCGAGGCGCCAGAGCGGTGCGCTCGGCGAGGTCGGTTCCAAGGGGTTGCGCACGCGGCCCTCGACCGTGTAATCCTGGCCCTGGGCAAGGCTGCGGGATCCGCGGGATCGCTGGGCGCAGGGCGGCGCAGGGCGGCGCAGGGTGTCCGGGGTCCAATCGGCGCCCAAAGTCGAATTCACAAGGGCGAAACCCGCCCTGAAAAGGACTCGAACGGCTCAAGTCAAGGTCGGCTGATAAAACCTCTCCAAGGAAGACTCACGTGGTTACGTGATGTTACGTGGACTTCCCCAACCTGCTATGGTGCGCCAGAAATTTTGGGGTCTTGCAGGGGACCGGCTGCGATCCACGTAACTGTGATTCTTTCAGGGAGTGCGCATGACAAATGAGATCAAATGAGTGTACTGCCACCAGGTGTGGAGAGCATTTTGTGAGCGCCCTAACCGCTGCTGAAGCGCTCTTCTCGCCCTGACTACGACTACAACGGTTCCTCACGGAACCGAAACTCTCCAGCCTGGCACCACTTCTTCTCTTAAACTCACCCTCACAGCTTACAACATGGCACCCCAATTGGCTGATCAAGTGTATCTCCAAAGCGCTTGCAAGATCGCCTTCCGGTTCGTCAACAAGAAGACCATGGTTCGTCCCTCGGGTTTGCCACCCTCCGTTTCAGGTAAGCCATTCCTCAGATCGAGGACGAGTCCCGTGGCGGTCATCGTATCGAAGCGTCCAAGAAGAAACCGAGGATGACGTGCACCCGCTACGGGCCCCAGGGTTCTCATGATGCAGAGCTTCATGACTAATGACTAATGTGTACTGATATACATACCCAGACCCTCCAAGTGCCTCCAAGGGGTGTATATTTAGAGCTCCTCATATAGCTGTTAAGGGGTGCCCATGAACCACCCCTTGGGGGTCCTGGTAGTAACCTTGTCTGCTATCTTTCCTGAGTCGGACGAACGTTTGTGAAGGGTGTGGCTCTATGACTCTATGAACCTGTTTGGTGGTTGTCAATGGGCAATGGGCAGTTGGTCATTCAAGTTGTCCAAGGGATGGGGCGGAGAGGAATGCATGTGATCTGCCATCGAAAGAAGCTGCAACACATCAATGCCACCTTATCACAATTCGCAGGGCTGGGCGTAGGGTGTAAGGTGTACTGCTTAGGCACTCGAAGCTGCGGCAACGACGGCAACGATGGCGACGACGACGACGACGCAGCCACAGCCACAGCCACAACCACAACCACCGGCCCCTCCAACATGCTTCAGACCTCTGTGAAAGCCAGGCGGCAAGATCCCCACGCATACAACTTGTGAGTTGTGCAAAGGATCTTGGTCCACTACTGGGTCTAGGGTCTTGGCAGCGTCTTTTGAGTACATTCGGTGTGTGGACCCCAGCTAACACAACTCCGAGCTGCAAATCTCCCACACGGCACACCACGTCGCTCTGCGAAAAGAAGGCCTCCTGATCCCAGGCTTCTCGGTCTTTCCGCTCCAGCAGCGAGTTCACCTTTGTCGCGCACGGATTGGGCGCTGAATTTTCGGCCAAAGAAGTCGCGGCATATGAGCGGTTCTGAAAACTTCCGTGAAAGCTTCCGCAGCGCATACGCGACTGCAGTTTTAGCTTACGCGGAGGGGTTGCTTACACCACTGCTTATGCAACCTTACGCCCACTGGAGGTGTTGCTCACTCACCTCGATATGACGATAAGGTCTTAATGATCAGGCTTACGCCGAAGACCACGTTGGCTGGACCGCACGCAGGGCGGACTCAGAGGGTTGACCGAATGGCTCAAATGGGCTCAAATGGGCTCCAAGATGACAGGAGGCGAAGGCCGGGATGTCTCGCACATCGGGCCTCTAGGACTGGCCATGGTCATCAGGGAGGCTCTGATGGCCACATCTGGTCACTACCGGGTGGCTTGACTCTTCTTGTTCTTCTACCTACTGCCGGGTGATTGATGACCTTGTTGGTCGTTTTTTGCTGGAGTGGCAGGGGCCTCTGCAGCATCGTTGAACAATGAGCAACAACTAAGCTATGCCTGAGACCTATTAAGAAACCTGTCCATGTTAACAGCCTGCATTCAGAAGTTAAGCATACTGTACCAAAACAATTCAACATCATCTGTCAGATTCCAGCATTGAATGGATTCGTCCCAACAACAGATCTCTCCAAATCAAGCTCCCATCGCGCAGACGAAGAGATGGCCGGGGCAAACCCGCCGCCCCGGCGTCACACGGGCACACGGACGCCCACGCCGACGCGTGCTGCTTCGGCACACAGACGTCGAAGTCGCCCTTCGGGAAATCGAAGTTCTCCGGGCACAAGATCACCAAGCTACCATCCTTCCGATCAGGGAGAGGGAAAAAAAAGAACTCACAAGCAGTTCCAAAGGGCCAAAGGGTTCCAAGAGAGGTTGAACAGCCTTATAGCCCGTCCCATATGTACCACTACAGGGTCTTATAAGGTCTCTCAACCTCTCTTGGTTGGTGTTGGGACCCATCCACTGGATTCCGGGCACCTGTCGCTCCAGCACCCGACTCCATGGAACTGCCTGGGGACGCTGCGTCGGATGTTGGTAGACGTCCTCGTGCTGAACCGGACGAAGGGACTAGGTTCAAAGGAGCGTCCTGAAGTGCACCAGCAGTATGACAATGTGCAGTTCATTCACTGAAGTAGGACACTACCCAGAGTCCTAGAGAGAAGCTGCGAAGCTCTACCTGCGGCATTTTGCTTGCAAGACCTGGAGGTTCTTCCACTGCCGTGCCAAAGGCAAGCTAGTTTATTGTGGCTACATTTCTTTAGACGAACACCTTTTCCTGGTTTCCCGGATGGCCTGGCCTATAGGCCCCCCCCAAAAAATGAAACGGTTCACCACCTTTTGAGGCACCCAACCCATCTGCGCAAGTACTCCCAAACCCGAACATCCTCGCCCTTCAACTCCACAAAACGCTGCGCCCGCCCCGCGCGAACTCCGCGGGGAGGACTGCGTCGGTCCGTCCTCCGCCTCGGGGAGCAGCGGGTCGCTGCCGCTCTGCAAGCGCCGCGTCTCCAACATGCGAGGGGCTGGGATCGTCGTCTGGGGCCGGAAATCCTGGGCACGGAGCAAGGACGACTGAGTGACTGGTTGGGTCACTGAATGACCTGGCTGGCTGACTGACTGGCTGGCTGGTTGGCCAGCTGACTGCCTGTCTGCCTGATTGACTGGTGCGGGAATGGCTGGATCCTGAAGGAATGCGAATAAGTGAGAGGGCCCAGCCACCCTCATTCCTCTACTTTCGTGGACTGTTGGAATGTGATCCTTTTGGGATTGACCTCCGTGATTGATGGTCCACAGCAAGGTAAGGCGGAAGCATCCTCGAAAAGCTTGGCTGCCAATGCTGGTCACATCCCCAGATTCTCTTGGGGGAACTCCACGGTGTCTCTCAGAATCCATGGAGAATTGGACCAACAATCGCTTGGATGAATGAATCACTTCCGGGTTTGGGTCGTGAAACGCAAAGCAATGGATCTCAAGAACTTGGCCAGGTGGTGAGGCCCAAGAGAATAGGATTCATAGGGGTGCTCAAGCTGTTGCCTCTGTTCCAAGCCCCCTCGAAAGAAAGTGCTGAGCCTGGTGCACCATTCCCACAAAATTACTGTGCTGAGTGCAAGTGCCGAACCAAAGCTTTTCTCCCACACTTCCTCCGAAAGAAAACTCCAGCCAAATATTTGGCACCAGTTATTACCCATGCATGAGCCAATTCGAACATTCCTTTGTTTCAGCACTTTTTCAGCTGGAGGGCTTGCCAGGGCGTTTTCGGGGACTCTCAGTTCGGGGAACTCTCGTGGTCGCTTCCCAAGCTGGGCTCCTTACTATACCCCCAACCCTCCAATCACTCCCTCTGAGTTTTGCAGGGACCTAGTCAAGTCTACACCCTGGGAGTCAAAGACTATAAAAAGAATGGTCTGACTAGGGGACCTGAAAGGGAACTTCCTTCACTTCAGCCGGTCAAAATATAGTCGAACTGGACTTCTAGGGTGTAGGTATAGATCGGTAGATCTCGGGAATTCCGCTCCTTCTTTGGGACCTGTGGGACCGGGAAGTGGCCTTTGGGACCTTGGGACCGGCAACACAGGTCAATCCGCACCCAAACGCGGTCCAAAACCCTCTTCTGACGCCCGCTTCCCCCTTCCCTGGGGAAAAAAGGAAAGGAGACTGAACTTTACACCGAACCTATACCAGCACCGACTTCACAGGTCACCAATTGAAACCTGTTAGCTAACAACCCTCCATGTCGGAGACCTGTTGGGTTCGGTGCTGGTATGTTTTAGTGGGTATCCGCCCCGAACAAGTCAAAAGGTTGTCCACTACTGTCTGGACACGCTGGCCCGACACCCTGGACACGCTGCATGGCTCTTCAGCCGTGCAAGCCATTAAAATGATGTATATCAGGACCCTCCAACAGGCTTTTTGGAGACCCTAACAGGTTGTCACCAGGAAGCACCTGTTGGAGGGTGCTGGTATACGCATGCGGGTGTGCAAATCTTTTTTGGCAGACCCCCTCCAGACCCTCCACCAATGGTTTTTGGGTCTATTTCCCTTCCACAGAGTCGAAGGATAAGGGTGTCAGTCTCCTTCTCTTTTACACCAACCCCCCTCTGCTCACCACGCCTCAATCCCCATGTTGGACCCTCTGGTGGCCCTCCCCTTTCGTAGCTTCAGGATCGATGCGGAAGGGCAGATACAGCTGCGTCTGTGGCCACCAGAACACCGAGGCCACCGTGCAAGCCAATTGCAAGGTGGTCGACTCCGCTTCAAAGCTCCTAGGGCCGAAGGAAGGGGCCGAAGGAGGCCGAAGGGAGGCACGCCGGAGGCACGCGCGGTCACGCGCGGCAGCCAAACTGAAGGAGCACACTTCAGGGGTCACCACTGGGGATTGGAAGATCTGTTGGAGGGAGGGACTCTGCTGCCACTCAGGATGGTGAAAACACCGACAAAGGTGATGACTATGTGATGAGAAGCAAGGCGTGCGGTGGCGAGATCAAATTTCCTTACCAAAGACCTCATACCCAAGGTGTTCCTCTTTCCGAATCCGCAGGCCGACCGCTTGACAGCCGGATGCGGACGAAATTCTGGATGCGGATCGACAGGAAGGGCTTCGAGGCCTCATACCCAAAGTCCAAGGCCCATAAGTTGGATTCCGGCTGCTCCTCCTTGGCACATCTGCCGCTCATGACATGATCCTGTGGATCACCCCAACTCGAGTTGAAAAGCAAAGCCAAAGGCTCTCCGAACCCGGTGCAGAATGCCACAGATTCTAGTAGACAGTAGATCTATCAATTTGATGCATCGACTTTGACTACCTGGGAAGTGCAAGCACGGACGTGCATCGTCATGGTGCCCTCTGTCGAAAACGAACAGCTGCGACGTTGAGACTTCAAGTGGTGACGATCTTGAGGGGACCCGAAAACGAATTATATACTTCAGTCGGTCAAAATATCGTCCTCGGACTTCTAGGGGCACCATGTTTGTTTGCCATGGACGCTTGACCCATGATCCACTTTCACCACTTGCTATGGACGCAGCTGGGTTCATGGTAGCAGCCCCGTTTATTCGACACCGGTGCCCACTGGGAGCAACTCCAGTTTGCCCTATCTCGATCTTTCTGCAACATGTCTTCCTTTTTCATCCGGAGAACCCTCCCGAAGCAAGACTACAGCTTTTGATCATCCAACTACCACTAACACCCCTAAGGAAACCGAGCACGCTACGGGTCGGCTGAAACCAGGCCCACCACCTGTCACTCAAAGCGCCGCAATGTTGTCCCAGCGTCCGGGTTGCGCACCTGAATCTCAAAGCCTTAGTCCGGCGTAGATCTGCAAGGACTGGGAGTGCGCCATCAGGTCATGGGCGAGAGTGCGCCATCAGGTCCGGCGAACTTCCGTCCGGCATGGTCGGTGGATGTCGGTGGCATCGTGGCTTGTGGAACAGCCCGACTGGTCAAGTCCTTCGTTGAACCGAAAGAACCGACTGGTCCTAGCATGTCCGTTCGCACGTGCCCGTTGTAGGACATACCACCCATCAGCAAGCCGGGTCCATCCACAGAGCATCCATCCTTCTCACATTTGCGGTCGTGGAGGACGATGCTGTGCCACACGTCACCGGCGCGCGACCTCCTTCCGTGAAGCTGAGCTAGGACGGATCTACCAGGGTCACAACTAAATGTAGACTGTAGACTGTGTGACAGACCATTGACTCATAAGACCCTCCTGGCACCTGCAAATGTAAAAAAACATCAAAACGATTATCTCTGACCGGCCGCGAGTCCGCGGCGTACCGTACACAGCATCGCAGGCCGCGGCGCGTACACCAGATTATAAGACGATTACAAACTCTTCTGGAAACGGTCAAAACATGTGTTCTCCCTAGGGCTCCTGGCCCATCTCCTCAGGAGCTGGTGTTAGACCCCCCAATCCCACCCGAACCACCTGGGGATATGGGCCAGGAGCCCTAGGGCCCTAGGGTCTATTCATCCAACCGTCCATCACCGTCCATCACGCTAGGTCACCCCCCGCGGGCCACAGGTCACCCAGGTGCCATAGAAGCCGTCCACGGCGAAGCTGGGTGCTTCGATGGCCAAGGACTCCGCTACGAAGGCGCCTAGGCGGTGCGGCGGTGCGGCGGTGCGGGTCGCTTGCGGTGAGGAGATGGGAGGAGACGGAAGGCGGAGACGGAAGAGATGGGAGGGAGGAGATGGGAGGCAGAGGTAAGGAGGTAGGAGGGGTAGACGGGAGGATGTAGAGCCTGTTCCTCTCGGAAAGCGTTACTCAACCTAAAAGGATTGCTGAGAAGAAACGGGGAGACGGAAGGAATTGATTTTGTTTTGGTGCACAAGGTGTGACGTTCGACCACAGTGATGTTTAGGTTGCTGCAGCAACGGGTGGGGGTTCTTGGCATGCTGCTTTCGATGTTTTTGGATGAGCCCCGAGCCTCCCCGAGCTGGCAAAGACTTCGGGTCACAAGCCGAAGCTCCAATTGCAACGCTGTTTGCATTTGAAAGGCGGTAGCCGGTGGGTTACTCCAGGGCCTTTCGGGGATCACTGTGGGATTTGAAACAAGAAAGTGAGCCTTGCGGAGAGATGCACCTGGCGCTGGAGCTGCGAAGCAAACACCGGTTTTTCTGAGGATCGCGCGATCCCCGTGACTGGGGAACCTAAACAGGAACCCAGCCAAAACCCGGTGGGTTTTACAAATGCATACAGTCGCTGCACTTGAAGGAAAACTAAAACATCACATGCAAGTGGATGGCACGTGATTGGTATGAAACGAAAAGGGATGAGCATAGTCATATTTTACGTAACCATGATTCCTGAAGAGGGGAGTGTATCCCTTTCACTGATCGCGCTGGGGAACCTGCATGCGGAAGATCTTCTAGGCCAGCTTCCATCAACAGCTGGGGCCCTTACAAGTTGAAGCTAGGCTCACATAAACAGGCAGGGGAGTCCACATGTGATCGACAAATTGAGGCAAAAAAGAAGAGAGAGAGAGTGAGAGTGAGATACTGAGATACTGGAAACCATCTAATTTAATTAGGTACTTTAACCTAGGATTCCAACATAATCCAACCACCATTGACTCACTAGCCTTTACAAAACTACCCTTTTTTCCTGAGGATTCGACACTACAAAACGAGGTCAACCGCTTGTTTGGTCTTCAAAGGCCATGTTCTGTTTTTTTCAAACGATCCTCTGATGATGATGATGATACCAGAAACCATTCCGTAAAGGTCTCTTCATCGCTCACTTCGATCTCCAAACCGCTCCCCAAAGCCCCCCACGTCGGTGGGTGCGTTCCCACCGAGTCGCTGTTGGGCACCTCAATGCGAGCGGTGCGGCCCACACCCAAGCAGCGGACGGGTGCCAAAAGCCGCGGCCAGCTGAGCAAATGTCCTGAGGTCTTCGACTCGTCAGCGTTCAGCATGGTTCAGCTTGCTGATGAAGGTGCGGCGTGGCATGGGTGTGTTTGAGTGCAGAGTGTCTGTGGCCAGGGGGCATTTTTCCGGACCAGTTTGTGAAAAGGAAGATGGATCCTCGCGAAAGCGGTTTGGGGGCAACATGGGCCTCAAGCCCAAAAGGAACTTGGAAGGAAATGGCACCCTTGGGCAAGTAGTCCTTTTGAGCTTCCAGGAGCTCATCAAACTGGTCTCTCAGCCGGAAGTGGTAGTACAAGAAGCTGGAGAGAAGAAACTGACCCATGCGGACCCCATGCTGACCCATGTGTGCACAAGCCCCTGTGGTCAACAAGAAGTCACTCAAGCCCCTGGCATTCCTAAGCATGGCCTGGCAGGATCGCTCAAGCCCCTGGCAGCGATGAGGTCGGGGGCTCTGTAACCGACGCAACCATGCTGGGCCTGGTCTTTTCGGATACCCCATACCAGCCTCAGCCAGAGCACTTCAGCGTCCACGAAGCAGCCAACAGCGTCAGGTGGTCCTCTAAGCCTCTAAGTCGGCCTCTAAGGGAACACCTGGGCCTCATAGGGCCTCATAGAGCCTGCTCATCGTATCCAAGGAACGACCCAATGCAGCAGTCAAAGCACTTGCCTGTTTCAGTGGATAGGATAAATCATGAATCATGCGTCCTGTTTCAGTTGATGTGTTTCTTTTCTGGAAGAGCTACGGTGGTGAAAGTCCAAGCTGCAAGGCTTTTCGACCCCAAAACAGTAGAGCCTCATTTCGGATTCAATGCTTCCAACCTCCTCGTCGTCACACGAAAAAGGAATTAGCCATGTCATGCCATGTCATCTTTTGCAAAAGCATGGCAAGGCTAGCCCTTGAGGCGCCATCCTTCCACGAGACTGGGTCCAGTTCCTCGGGGTATCTCGGAGTCTACCTGCGAGCTCTCCGCCCAGCGGCGAGGGCACCAGGAGGCCAAGGGAAGTGTTCCGCAGGGGAACCTGGAGAGGACACACCACGGCCGTCGACGCGAACCACGGCACCCAAGAGCAATCTTCCTTCCGGGCAGCCCGGTGGGTGTGGTTTCGCACGCCGGGCTTCGGAGGGGAACCGTTCTTCGTGCCAAGTTCTTTCGGGCCAGGAGGGAGATGAGGAATATGTGGAAGAACTTGTAGTCTTTTCTCAGGGTATCTCAGGGCCGGTGCTGCTTTGAGTTCAACTCCCCGCCACAAGTGGGGCGGAACTCCCGAAGCCCGACGAATCGCCGACGGTTTCCAGCGCCGCAATACCAAAGCGCTTCCGCCACGGTCCACTCCGCGCCTGGTGGCGGTCTCTCCTGGAAGTGGCTCCATAAAGGCATGGAGCTCCCCAAAGCAATCCTGCCGATCCCTTCGATCCAACGATCTTAGCGCGGTAGGTAATTGAGTGGACGTCACTGGTCATGGCGGTCTTCGCCAAGACGGTCTCAGTAGATTGGGAAACCCCGGCTTTTTCATCGCAGATCGAGTGGACTCGACCAAAACAAATGCTCACCACATAACTCGACAAACAAGATGAGCAAGTATACCAGGACCTTCCTGTCGAGGTGTCTATAAATAGCCTCTTAGAGGTGAGTCGAGGTGCCCAAAAACCACCTGTTGGAAGGTCCTGGTCGATGACGATCTGACATAGACTCCAAGTAGAGCATGGGCCCTTTGGACTGTTCTCCTCTATAAAGGGGTCATGCCCTGTCCAAGCCATGGGAGCAACCAGCTAGGGCATGGGAACTGCCGTTAGGACGAGTGAAACGACATGGAGCAACCACTCCAGTGCTCTAAAGCATCCGACGGTAGGCCATGGGTTCTTCATCGTGAAAGCATGGGGCAGACGGGTTGCATCAGGGGCATCGCGATCGCAGTCGAACGCCAACACCAAGAAGAAGAAGAAGGAGGAGGAGGGAAGGAAGGAAGGAAGGAAGGAAGGAAGGAAGGAAGGAAGGCAAGGCAAGGCAAGGCCAGGCCAGGCCAGGCCAGGCCAGGCAAGGCCAGGCAGGCAGGCAGGCAGGCAGGCAGGCACGCAGACAGGCAGGCAGGCAGGCAGGCAGGCAGGAAGGAAGGAAGGAAGGAAGGAGAAGAAGCCTTTTCACTTCGGTCTTTCCATCAGCCCACGTGCCCGAGTCTTCATCGACCCCGTGCCGAGTCCGGGGCCTCTTCAAAAACAAAGCCTCGAGGACCGCGCAAGGCCAAAACCACCGTCTCGGTGCTCACGGGGAAGACGGGCGGATCTCCGACACCTGCCACGCGGACGCCCAAACGGCTTGAAGAAGACCAGCGAAATCCAACCGCTAGACTGGTCGTTCGCAAGGGGTTGGGGAACTCCTCAGTTCGAATTGAATATGGATACTCACTATGGATACAGACCCGACTTCGCCGTCGCTCCCTCCAAATCCCACCATTTAAGGCTCTTAGGGTGTGAGAGAGATGGGTCAATCCAAGCGCCGCGACATGACGAACATCACCGCACGGACCTTAAAAACCCCTACCGTCGGACCTTTCGTTCCACCGAGATGCAGTATCTTTCGCCCCGACTTCCGCCACGACTTCTGCACAGATCCTCACCGTCCCAGTTCGGCCGTCCCTTCACCCAAGGGGCGAAAGTAGAAGGAGAGGATGTTCCACCGCAGCGGCGCATCGTCGCGCCCAAAGCCTGGGGCTTCGTAGTAGCCCGGCCGCAGGATGCCCGCCTGGCCGGTGCGAGCCGCGACAAGGAGAACCGACACCTGTTCCACCTTGTTTTCATTTGCCCAGACACTCCATGTAGTATACATGCCTACATTGGGGTGGTGCGAGGGGTCAGTGGGGCGGCAGTCCTATCGCAGTCCCAGACAGGTCGTGTCTGGGTTGTAGCGGGGTGCCCGGGGTGTGTGTGGGGGGGGGCAATCTACCAAAAAGGTGTGGCAGGTGATCCACTCTTCCTGGGTAGGATCTTTTTGGGGCGACATTGGTCACAGCACCCCGTGATAATATCTCATGATGAGGCCCAGAGCGACACTGGGCACGTCTGGCACCCGACACTATAGGTCGCTTGGGTGAGGTCGTTCGTGACCCGGTGGACTGGTTAGGTGAAGATGGTGGGGTCACGACTCGAAGGTAGATCTTCCAGGATCTGAGCGTCCAGACCAGCGATGACATCCTATTCTAGGACCAGCAGGTTGGGGCATGCAATAGAAATGGAGAAGCGTGAGGTCCATTGGTGACCCTGAACGGAAGGTCCTGACATACATTCTCTTCATGAACTTCGCAACGCCCAAGTCCGGCCTGTTGATTTGATTGGTGTGTGATTGAATGAAACCATGCCAATTTGGTTGCTAGAAACCTGCTCGAACTCGCCATTTGGGATGCTGAAAGCGCCAAAGCTTCAGTGACACCTTCCCTCAACAAATGTTCCCATGACCAGATGCTGATTCCTGGAGGGGGTTATGCAAAGTCGCAGGTATACACTGCACTGACCAGCTAGTTGAGACTGATGTGCATTTCACCCCCATAGAATGTGCAGGTGAATCACTTGATATTCTCTGACTCCTCTGATTTACTTGGATGATTTGAACTCCAACACTTCGAAGGGTTGCACATTTGCTCCAATAAACCTCACGCCCTCACTCCGCCCAAAGCCTCGGGTAGGAATGACAAGATCTGTGGGCTGGGTGTGTCCACGGAGTAGTCCAAGATCTTGTGCTGGGGATACAGGTGCAAATCACCTGAGCGTGGCCCTGTGCCGCTGAATCCCTGTCCAATGCCCTCTGCTGATGTGTTTAGGCTTCCAAGGTCGTTTTGAGAAAATGGTCGACCTGACTGATGATGCAGTCGAAAGTCCTTAGTAAAACAATGGTTCTTTATATTCAACCCCGATAGAGTAGATCGATGGTGGACCTAGACTCGACTCCTCCTTTTCTCCGTCTGTCCCATCCATTCCCTCACGGTTTTAAAAATCCACCCACCCCTCACGATGCTTGGAATCCATGGCGTTTCAACGCATCGGGTGATGAAGAAACCACCCCAGGCCTGAAGAGGTGTTCCCACTCAAGGGGGGGGTTACTTTGTAGGGCTCCAACCATATCCCCAGAAGGTGGTTGGGGTGGGATTGGGGGGTCTAACCACCTCCTGAGGAGATGGGCCAGGAGCCCTAGGGACTAATCAACTGTCTACATTAAGGACGATGACCTCTAATGACCAGGTTCCTCACCTCGCTCCTCTGGTCTAGCTGCCCTTCTTGGACGCTCCGGTCCAGCACGGGGCTGTCTTGATGAAACGTGACTGGGCCATGGCACCGGGACACCCCCGGGGTTGGTGGGAACCGAACATGAACAGAGTGCCGAGGAAGGTCAACCTACCAAGGACAAACATGTACAAAACCATTGGGAGATGTTCCCTTGGTCCTCAACTGTTCAAACATCTTAAATCACTTCCAGACTGTACAAGTCCGGGCTGTGACAGCAATCACCAGCCATCTCGTCAGTCCTGAAGTCGTACGAAAGCTGGGGGCCCAACTGGGCGTGAAAACTTGGTTCGACCGGTCGGTCTTGGCGCGTGCCGTGACCCACATGGAAAGCATGTCTGAAGTTGACCCGAAAAACATCCTGGCTGCTTGACCTTTGATCACCTTTGGAGTGCAGAGACGCTTCAGGAAATTGGTGGCATGTCATAAAAGGAAGATGCCCAATAATTACAGTATATAATAGGTGTTGGTCTATGTTCCTTCTTTCATTGTGCACACCCAATATGGCCGTTTCGATCCTGACGATGACCACGACCCCATTGTGTGATGCAGAGCCCTCTATTCGCTTCACTCAGCGACTGAAGGTTCCCAGACGCCAATAGACCAAGCCCTTCGTCGGCCAGCGTGGCAGCGTGACTTCCCTGCAGCGTGACTTCCCCGGCGCTCGCCGCGGCGACACGGGAAGGCGGGCTGAGGGTGAACGTGTCACGGCTGAAAGGTGGAGCGTTGCAGGACGCGAAGCTGCATCCCGCATCCCGGAGTTGTTTGGGAAGAATCTAGAGGTTGGCCATGGCGAAGCTGCTTTCTGGTCGTGGCCCGTTGTGTTCTAGCCGTGGCGCGTCTCCAAGAATGGCCCCTCAAAAAGCAAAGATTTTGCCGGCGATCCGCGCGCAGACCGGTGGGGGATGGAACTGCAGACCGTGGACCGTTCGGCTGAGATCCGTGGCACTGACTCCTCTCCACGCGTTTACATCGACGATCGAAGGCCCGTTGGAAAGACCAGCTTCCTGGACAAAAGGACCCACTCTCCATGTTGTTGCTTGGAGACAAAAAACTGGCGGAAATTCTTCGTGTGCCCAGTGTCGGACACCACACGAAACAAACGTTTCAGGAAAAAGGCTTCAATCAAGCCCTCAGCGTGGTTCACCATGGGGTGCAAAAATTGTATAACCAGTTGTTGTAAGTTACAAGCCGGCTGATCTCATACTTCACCCACAGAACGCCTTTGAGGCTCCTCTAGCTCAGATTAAAGGCAGTATGCATGACATCCTGTCTTTGTTGGACGCCTGTTCAATCTAGGAACCTGCGCACCTTCCGTCTCACTTCCACTTCTCTGTCCCACCAGCACGCTGAGAGGCAGCATGACAGCTGTTTCTGACCACACGTCCGTACCGCACCTGAAGCGGAAGCCATAGTAGCCGCTGGGCATCTCGCCACTGATCAGCCAAAGCTTCACCATGGGCAGCAAGTTGACCGGATGCTGAAAGACCAAGCCTTAGCAAAGCAGCTTCGCAGCTTCAGGTTCAAAGGGCTTGGTCCCGATTGATCCGTAAGGGGTATAAATAGCAGGTTTCTTGGGGCATCCAGCCGAGGGCCCAACTGGCGAAATGAAGGACCGACTTTTGACTACGAGGAGAGTAGGTAGCGATCTGTCACTTTGCATGTCTTGGTTAGGTGAGAGGTGGCTCGGTTGATCTCGGTGTGCCCGAAGACGAGCACCCATTCTACGGTCCAGAGGGTTTATATATATAAGGGTTTATAGATAGCAAGCAAAGAAGCTAGGGTGGAGTAATTGTGTGATGTTGTGTGCCACTCATCAAGCTTCCAACAGAAAGCCTCCATCCCATGCCATATCCCGACCAGGATGGCCCATGAAACCGGCCTCCCCACCTCTGAAGACAAGTCACAGGCGCCTTCCTGCGGTGTGATGCCCAACCTCGAACGTGCCAGCCCCTCATGCATTGGGGGGGTGGTCAGCATGTCGCCCGACGCAAGGAGAATCCAACGCGAAAGCTTTGACTCCAGGGTTCTCTGAGTCTTGACTTCGCTAGGCCCAGGTCTTTGAGTTTTGACTTCGTTTTGACAAACACGCCGTTAGACCCCTTGTACTTCGCGCGGCCTTTGACTCATATATAACTCGATGTACGTTCCCTTTACACTTCGGCCGGGCGACATGTTGGAGAGGACTTCCGGCCAGCAGCGCAGCAGAAAACCACGGGTCGCTTCCGAGCCTTCGAAGAGGAATCCATCGTAGACCTGGCCGAGCGTCGCTCGGCCCGGTCCGGGAACGCCTGGGGTGAAGAGGCCCCCCAGGCCTTCCAAGAGCACCATGACCGCATGATTGAGCTGGTTGTGTCGTGTTGGTCGCCCCTATAGGGGGCCCAAAACACGTACCACAATCCCAGACACGACCTGTCTGGGACTGCCATAGGACTGCCGCCCCAGTGACCCCCTCGAACAAGGTCTCCGACATGGTGCCTGAAATGCAGACTTCCAAGTGGCAGGGGTTGACCTGTGAAGTGAGGGTGCTGGTATAGCAAGCTTGCCTCGCTGAATGCTTTAATTGATTTCTCTGTTCAGCATCCTGAAACCACCCCTGGCCGTTTCTCGGCAGTCCGGACTGGCAGCCCCTATGGGTCGCGTCTGGGAATGCTTCGAACCGGGATGACCCGGCCACCAAACCACTGCTGGGCGCTCCGAGCTCCGTGCGTCCTCCGGTCCGGGTCCGGTGGGGTCCGAAAGGAAGCGAAGCCAAGCAGGTGTCTGGCCCAGCCAGTTCGGAGTTGGGGCGCGCCGAGTTCGCCGAGTTCGGAAGGCCCTTGGGGTGTGACAGACACTCACATCCAGCTGGATTCAGAGCAAGAAGCGTGCCTCTCGGGAGGCTGCGGGCTTTTACTACAAGGATTGGACACGATGAACAGAGCTCAACCCGCTCTTTAAAAATATCCAAGATGTTCAAAGACTCGACCCAGAGAAACCAGCCGTGTGATCCCCAAAAAGACGATCCGTTGGGGTTGACTGGAACATGGAGGGAGAAGAGTTCATACGACATGGAGATACATGGGCTGAGTGGCTGCTTCTTGGCAAAAAGTGCAGAAGGGTTGAAAAAGGATATATGCAAGCCTAGAAGTCGAACCACCACTTTATTAAACAGGCTGAATCCCGAAGAACAATGGATTTACTTTCAGGGTATGCGGTATACAAGTTTAAAAGGATCAACCGGACTTCCAGCATATGAAGAAACCTCGCCCATGTGAGCGGTTTGGGGGTTGTAAGGGAGAGCCATGTGACGCCTGAACCGGGTCAAGGGTCGAATCACCACCGATGGCTATCCGGATGGCTCCAAGAGTCACGAGACCTGCCAAAGCTCCCGACCTGCCACACACGCGCGATCGGCGCCGGTCGGCGCCTTCAAGGGGGAAGCGATGCGCAGGGTGATCTCCATGATGTTCTCTGCAAAGCCGGCGAGGTTGCAGCGCCTGAAGAGGAACAACATGCACCAACGCGTTAAACACGCATAAACGCCTGGAGAAACGTGTGCGTTTCACGGATGTGTCTACTTTAAACATGGCCGTTTCAAGGAGTTTTGGAAGAATGTCCCCACACAAAAGAGTGATAAGTAAAGGCCTGCTGCCTACCCACTGAGCCACTGAGCTCTGCCACTGAGCCGCCGAGCCAGGGAGGGACAATGAGGGACATCAGTGCAAGTTACTTCCACAAAGTTCCGAGCAGAAAAGGCTCACTGTGTCCAAGATCAAAATCATCTTTGTGCAAGCGTACAGATTAGACCATGACTATGTGATGTGTCCCGCTTAACAATCCTTTCAGTCTAGGCCCACGCAAGGGGGAAGAAACCCTCTGCTGCCGCACAAGCGTCTATGCCCCCGCCCATGGCGCCCAGTGGACGATCTTTTTCGAGGAAAAACCTTGTGCACCAAGATGTGCCGTTTTTCAAAGGTCAAAGCGTCCGGACCTTCCAAGGTGTGTAGCGGGCTGGACCTCCCGAAGAGTAGTGGGCTGGGCGGCTGGAAAAGCCAGGTGACCCCCTTTGATTGAAGGGGCTGGTTGAACCATTGGTGCGGTTCAGTGACCTGGGCTCTTCCAGCCAGCTCAACCCGAAGCTCCAGGTGACCCCTTGCAAATGCGGTTCCCAGGCACGAAAAGATGAAGACATCGTGCACCACACGGATCGGTGCTGCGGGGATCGCTGCCGCCTGCGGGACCCGGCTGGTGCGGGAAGGTTCCGCGGTGGTCCCCGGTTCGCGTGTGGAGAGGAAGGTCTGCAGGATGTGCGCTGGCAGGAACCGGAACAAACATCATCTCCACAAGAAGATTCGGAACAGGATGCCATAAGGAAAACAAACAATAATAATAATAATAAAAATATATATATATATATATATAAACAATATATATATATATATCCTCTATATATTAACCCTGGGAGTCAAAGACTATAAAAAGAATGGTCTGACTCGGTGACACGAGTCAAGGAATGTCCTTTACTTCAGTCGGTCAAAGTATAGTTGAACTGGACTTCTAGGGTTCATATACAATTGCCACACCCTAAGAATCCCGATCCGAAGCAACGCACCGCGTTTTGAGCCCGGCCCGGACCGTACGGATGGAGGGCCCACGGACTCTGAGGGCCCAAAATCATTCGACGGAGTCCGGAGTGCCCTCCGGGTGCGCGGAAGGGCTGCGGCACGCGGCACGCGGCCCTTCTCTGGCCACACTCACTTAAAAAAACAAAGGGGTTTCGATCTGTACTCGATTTTTCCAGGTCCACGTCGCTAAGCAGGAACTTGTGGCGGAGATAGGTGAAGGAATAATACACTATATAAATTTTATATATATAACTACAATTGTAATATATAATCATGTATAATCAATACATTCCGATTCGCCCTCAGCTCCAAGAATTGTTCACCAAAGTAATGGGAAGGGGAGGGGGTGGAATGTGCCTCAGCCCAGCTCACTGTTTAGCAGCTACTTCATCAAGCTTTGACCTCACAACCAGCCAATCAGCATCACGCCAGCTGCGTCCCCGATTTCTCTCACGCGATGTTTCGAGCCAGAAAGCAGCACGTGTTGCGCCAGCTTGAGGATCTGAATGCAGTTCTGGATCTTTCGAGCAATCGTCTTCAATCGTTCTGGTTCGATCGCTCTGGGACAGTTCGACGCTGGATCAGACTAAGATGGACACATGTGGAAACCGGTCAACTGCAAAACCCCAACCACGACACATGGGACTGCGGACGGCCGCCCCAGACAGACCCCCGGCACAACCACCTCAACTGATCGGTGTCTGGGATCCATCACGGACGCTCCGCGGACCGGAATGCGATGGCACGAGGCGGCGGCTGTGTTGGGAGGCGAGCTGTGCTGCCTTGACCATGTCAGGGACCAGGCTGGTACCCCTGGAATCACGGCCATTGAATGAGCGTAAAGTCCTTTAGATGTTACAATCCCAATGGTGCCTATGATGGTTTCTGGATCAAGATCAATCCGGATCTACATTACTGACAGGCCCCTGTAAAAAGCAGGTCTCGCCCTCGCACCATGGTTTCTGCCTTGGGCGCTTGCCCTCCGCGAGTTGTTTCGCCCCCTGCCTGCATGCGATCTAAGGGCACACTGGGATCTGGACCAGGATCGAAGCCCATCCTCAGACAGATGTCAAGGCCAGCCTCAAAAGGGGCCCGGGCTTTTCGCGGGATATTGTGGAGGGAAGGTAGGGAGGTTCCCAGCAGTGCCCCCTCCTCCTTGCACGGGGTAAAGGTAAGGGCGTGCTGCAAACAAGCCCGGGTGAAACGAAAGGACAGGAAAGAAACCTGGTGCACGTCAGGTTTCAAGGCGGGAAATCGGAAATCGGGTCCGTGGGGGCGGAGGGCCAAGCAACGGCCAAGAGCAAACAAACGTTTCAAGAAGCCACTGGATGCCAGTCAACATTAGCCAAGAGAAGCGGCCAAAAGCCAGCAGGACGGACGTAAGAAAAACAAAAGCCAAGGCAGAAGCCACCAGTCAAACGCTCAAAAAACCGCCAAAAGCAACGGAAGCCACCACAAAAAGAAGTAGCAGAAGCCAAAAGCCACCGAAGCTAAGACAAACCAAAACGAATCTCCTCCTTGATTCCGCCTTAGAGGTGGTGGATCATGACTACCAGGTCTGCTAGTCCATGAGTTACAAGGTCTGGGCACCGAGGGCTCTCCAGTCACCGAACTGCCAGGTCCGCGCCGACGACTGGGCGACCAACGTGAATTCCGTGCAGGTGATGCGCGTTGCGAACGCCAGGGGTCCATCATGCCATGGAAGTGTTTTGCCTCTTTCTTGATCTGGCGCGGTGGGGCACGTCATGCCAGGAAGACAAGGCACCCAAAGCGAAAGAAACAACAAGGAGCAGCCAAGTGAAATGAAACAGTGAAAGCGGTTGAAAGAAGCCGGTGTAAGAAAGTCAAGCGCCAGCCAGGGTGGATTCCAACCTTTCTCCCGCACAGGTGAGCAATGTCGGGCAGCTGGTCCAGTTGCATCACGAAAGAAAGGAAGAAACGTAAGGTAGAAAGCCCGCGGCAACAACTTGCTGAGGTCACCACCAGCGTCCTGCCACAAGAAGCGCACGGTGCAGGGTGAGTCATAAAGACTCAGAGAGAGAGAGAGAGAGAAAAAAAAACACACACACACACAGAGAAGGCCAGAGCATGCCTGCAGGGCGGGCGAAGCATGTAGGTAGGGGTAAAAGAACTTGGTCTAGAAAGGGGGGGGCTCGCAATGACTTTGCCTCTGAGAGCCATCAGGATCATCAGGCTCAACCCCCAAGATCCCCACGAAAAGTGGCTATAGGAGGCCCTTCTATGAGGATTGTATATAAAGCTTGGTACTTCCCTCTTTGCTTGCTTCCACCCGACTCATCACTGATCAGGTAATTCTGACCATCACATTGGTCGAAATCGTCCACCACCCGGGGAAAAACACGCCGCGAAGTCCAAAACCTTCAGCTTGGGGTGTTGGGGCACTTCTCTCTGCCCAACTGATCCCAGCTGCCCAGCTGCGCTAAGCTCCCTGATGCCATCCCCTCGCTCCAAGCAGCTCCAAGAAGAAGGCGTTCGTCGAGCGCGTCGGGGGCCGTAGTGGCACCCATAGCCGCACGCGAAAACCGAAGGAGTGGCCCACACGCCTTGGTTGGCGTTCACTGTGGGGAGGAGCAGGGACGAGCCATCGCCATTGGGGTGTTGGGGATCCTGGATCCTCGAAAACATCTCTCCACTCCCAATCTCAAGTTCCACACTCCCCGGGCAAAGAAGCAGAAACACGACCCGCGTGGTATCCATACCTGCTACCTCCCCGCAAGTCGCAAAAGCAACCAAGTTCCACTAGCAAGATCGCTTGCCTCACCTTCCCTGCAAACGCCCAACCCCTCGGCTCCCAGCATCACGAGGTCCGGTAAGATCAACTCGTTTTGGAACTTCACCTCCACCCGGTTCGCCGTTGGCCGCGCAGCAGGTGGGCAACCGTAAACGCCGCTTGTCGGGCAGGTGTTTGAGCGGCAGGTTGTTGCGATGGCTTGGAGGTGGCCCCTCCAAAATAATATATATAAACATCCCGCCGGGTGTGGGATCGCAAGTGTAGTCGTGCAAATTTTGATTCAAAAGTGCAAACCCTCTCAGTACTTTTGCTTGTTCGATGATGTTTTTGGGGGGTCCCGGATCCTTTCATTTTTTAAGCCGAATCTGCCGAAACCCAAGTGCCAGCGCAAAATCCGTCGCCGTTTTTGTCCCGGGCACTTGCTCCGCTGCGGAATGCGGCAAAAACACGGAAACAAATACACTTGTAAGCTTCCAACATGTATTACGCTCGCCCCGTGTGATATGCACTTGTACGTGCGTTCGACAGAGAAACGAAAATCGATGAAATCGATGACAATGTTATGAAAACGATGACAATGTTATGCAACCGACGACATATAATGTTGTGAAAACGATGACAATGCTATGATACCGAAGATTACTTACAATGTTCTCAGCATGACATCACAACCCCCCACCCCACCCCTGTAATCACACGACTAATCGATGACAATGTTATGAAACCAATGACAATGTTGGCAAACCGATGACAATGTTATGAAAACGATGACGATGTTATGAAACCGATGACAAGGCTATGAAAACAATGACAATGTTATGAAACCGATGACAGTGCTAACCTTAGTATAAATAGTTGTCCACATCAGCCCACCCGTCCTTTCAGGTAGCATCAACTTCAGGAAGCAAGTGCAAACGAACGTCAATATGCCCCATCCCACCCCACCCCAACCCCCCCCACCTTTCACGTAGCATCAACTTCAGAAAGCAAGTGCAAACGAACGTCAATATGCCCCATCCCACCCCAACCCAACCCCCCCACCTTTCACGTAGCATCAACTTCAAAAATCGCAGTAGTCACACGTTCAGTTTTACACCCGTAGGCATAAACATGTCACGTCATCAGCCAACAGGGTCCAGGGCACCCTGTGTGAGATTGTCTGAGATGACTCTGGGTGCATTTGGGTTCCCACTTCGGGTTGTCCAAGAAACTGGACCACTTAAGAGATCAGCAAGTAGAGAAGTGCATCTGAATCGCTGTCAACAAATCTTGACATGTGTCTGCAGATTCCACTCATGGAGGGGAGGTTCAATCTGTTCGCCGTAACATGCCGTAAACTGACAGCCACTTACCCGGTAACACAAGAAAACACCCACAGTGGTTTCAGAGTAGATGGTACAATCCCTACAAGGTGGTTTATGTGGATCCCTATTAGGGTGCCAGTGCCACCTACTCTCAATCCACATTTACAGTAATGAGGACATCTGGGGGCAGCTTTGAAACAGATTTGGGTGGATCACTGACATTTCTGAGAGAACCACTGACATTTGGCAGAACACATTCCATGCCCATCTCTACAGAGAGGCTTACTGGGTCATGTGATAGGATGTCCATACGCCCCACCAATCCTCTCAAATACCTCCAAATCCATCTAATCCTTCTTTCACAAGATGCAACGTCACACCAAGCAAGGAGAGTTTGGAGTTAAAGGTCCTCTTGACTTGGAGTCTTTACTTGGTTCTTGCCTTTCTCGTTCCATTTTGTCCAAATCTTATTGTCAACCCCTGCTCCGCCCACTCCTTCTTGGCAGCCACTTCTGCATGTCGCGCCTGGGGCGTCACCACCAACTGGCAGTACCGGCAGGTGACGTTGGGCACGTAGCCAAGCCAACCGTCTTGCGCGAAGGGGATCCACACCTCACCGCATCTAGCGATGCAGCGATGCTACCGGCGAAGCGAGCGGGCTCCGCGGGGGAGGCGGGCTCCGAACAAACCTGCGGGGCTAGGCGCATAGCCGAGGGGTGCAATCAGCCGCAGGCTGTTGATGAGCCCATCGCTGGTGGGCTCCAAGGGGTAGACGGTCAGGAAGGCGCTCATGTCAAAGGCTGCAGTTGGCAGGATTCCTGGGCTGCGAGGACTAATAGATATAATATGATGTAATGAGCTTGCGACTCAATCTGATGTGGGGGTGCTTGTGCAACCTGCCCGTGGTTTCACTCCATGACTCCATGTCTTGGGGGGTCCAAATGCCCGGCCTCTCTGGCCAACGTGGCGTTTGTCACTCCGACCCGCGGAGTGCAGGACGGCCATGGGCCGGGCAGCCGTGCACGGCGAACGCTCGACTTCAGAGACCCTGAACCCTCGCAGTGTCAGCTCCAAACCCAAGGACACCCTGCGACCGACCCGCGAACAAGACACGGATGGCCAAAAATCCGCAGACCCTCCAACAGATCACCACCTGCGACTGTCAAGTCCGCAAGAGCCTTGCAAACAAATATACTGTAATTTTAAAGGACCGTTGGATGGTGCTGGTATCAGGGATCACGTCAGCCTCCCATGGTTTGATGTAGGGTCTAGGTATATAAAGCCCAAGACTCGCTCCGCACCAAAGCTGAAGTTCACTGGTAGCTTCATCCCGCTGGGGTAGACGGCCCAACCCCGATCCTCGACGAGGGCGTTGACGGAGCGAGGGCTCAGGAGCTCTGGACGACGGGCTCGTCGTAAAAGAATCGATTTAAGATCTATCCGTATGGTTATAAAGCAAAAGCAACTGGACTACACTGTGTTCAAAATCATGCGTGCTCAAGTGCAACAGAATGCAGCATGTGTTCATAGTGTACTCTAGCTAGAGAGTCTACAATCCATAAAGAAGCCATTCTCGACAAAAGTCTGCCTTCATTGTTTTAGAAGTTGTTACTGCTGCAGCTGTTGCTGCAAATGTTTGGTACCCATCACCCACGGCTTACCCAGCCTTCCCCCATAATGTCGAGAAACATGAGGCAAAACGGGTAAGCTGTCAACTCGTGCTGCATTGAATTGAACTGCGTACCTGGCTGGGAGGCCAAGCCGTTTGACCGGGTTGCATTGAGCAAATCGAAGCTGTCTGGAAAATATACCTCAAAAGGTACAACCGCCTGGCAGCTGGTTCAGTCTTTGCTACAGTCTGCTACAGCTTGGAGCGGCTTGGACCAGGGTCTGTTTCTCGGAGCGTTCCTTGCCTCATCCGCCCTGGGATTCCTCCACTTCCGCTGAACCAAAGAACAAACGGTGGCCGGTCGCCGCTGGGCCTTGCAGTCACCCAAAGCCCCTGGGCCCTTGCGGTCGCCCCTTGGCCCTCGTTGGGAAGCACCAAAACCGCGTTAAAACGTTGGGAAGCACCCTCGCAAGGCCTTCGGCGCCTCAATCACCATCGCCCCGCCCGGGCGATATGTGTCCGAAGCGTCTCCGAAAACGACCGCCCGGTGTCCGAAAAGACTTGGCCCCCGCGGTTCCCCTTTCAAAACGGGAAGATGAAAAAAAAATAAACAAACAAACAAACAAACAAACTCCCTCCGTGACCGACCCCACCTCCTGGCCCCAGCACACCCCGACAGAAACCGCCCTAGCCAGAGGCTCACTTGGAGCCGTCCACCATATATCCATCAGGGCTTTGCAGCCACAAGCGCCAGCCATCGTGTTGGGTGAGGTTGAAGGCCTCGGGCGTCGGACCTCCAGGGCCCTGTGTGGGGCGCGCCCTTCACCGGAATCCCGGCCAGGTGCGTTCGCATCGCATCGATCAAGTCTGGGCACCAGGGGAAAGAACTCCTCACCAACGCAACATGCGATCCCTGCCACGTTTTGGTGTGCACATTTGTGGGGTCAAAAACATGTTGCTGCGCCACCCCCCATGCGGCCCCATGTGGATGTTTCTTCCAATCTGCTTTGGTGCCTGGTTCCAGTGAGGCGATGGGTCAGACTTGTTGTCAGTGGATCGGATGGAGCCGCAAGTGGATCACTCGGAGTGCGCCGGAACAGGTGGTGGAAGCACAGCGCCGCAGGTGGAACACTCCAAGTGCTTTCGAGAACTGACTTACCCCGCCTGGGGTGGCTGATCGACTGGGGTGGCTGATCGACTTCCTAAGCCTGCACCAGTTGCTTCATCTGCATGATAAGCCTCCAAGATACCGCCCAAACCGCCCGTGCGAATGGAATAGTTACATGGTGGTTTCATGGAGTGGAACGTATTGTAATGGATTCGCAAAATGATCGAGCCTTCGTCGTTGTCATGAGCCAAAGGGGCTGGAGCATTCTTGATGTAGATCTGAAAGGCGTAGTACTTTCCTCGTTTTTGGACGTGGAGACATTGAAACCGTCGATTGGCCCCTCCCACTACGTGAGAACGAGGCAACGAAACCAACAAACGGTTTCAGGGTTCATGTCCGGGAGGGGTTCCCTATCAGGCCCCATCAATCTTGTCTTCGGAACTCTGGCCGTGAATTCGGAACTCTGGCCGTGAATTCGGAGCCCTGACTTCACACTCATGGAATCCATGGAACTTGATGCAACTGATTGAATGGAAATGGAAGAGGCGCGAAGGCTTCGGGAATCACCTCCCGATTTCTACCCACAAGGCATGCGCCTGCTCCAAGGATGTGGCTTGGGGCTAGGCCTGATCCACACCGTTGTATGCTAGATATAAGTTATATGTTTTGAAGTTTTGAATGTGTTAAATTGCATGGGTACGCCCTACCCCCGCAAGCATGGGCGTAGGGGCGACCATCACCTGCACAGAAAGGCCCCCATCATTTGAGAAGTGCCCCCGCGGGACCATCTCAAAAATGGCGTTCCCAGGGAAAGACACCAAAGCCAGTGGCCCTAGGCAGCCCCAGGCTTCCGGGATATCAGAAAGGGTGGCATTGAAACAAGGTCTATGTCACACAAATCTCCCAAGAAAAGGGGGGGAAGGGTAAAGGATCAAAATCGTGTCCCCAAAGACTTTGGCATTATCATTATTTTTGCTTTGACTAAGGCTCAATCAACCGAACGTCGGTCGGCAAAGGAGATAGCAAGTATCCTAAACCGCGTGTTGCTATTATCATTTCCCAGTGGGTCGTCGTGCCAGTTTAGCCGGCACTCTCACGACGCGCTGGCTTAACCAGGCCTTTGGACTTAGGCCTTGTGACTCAAGCTTCCACATCTACAACTCACTACAAAAATGTATCTAGGAGTATCACTTGCACCTCACGTTGTTCTTTTTTTGCGGTTCTTGCGGCTGATGTTGTGGCAGTTGTGGCCACAGACTTCTTGTGGCGGCACGCTTCCTCCGCGTCTTCGAAGTTGCAGCCGTTTGCACTGTCTTTTCAGCCAGCATCGTCAGGCTTGGCGCACCGGTGAGGGGATGTGCCCAATCTTTGAGTCTATACTCCAGATAGATTTATTTGGTTCATGTGAGCTGGAGGAGGCATCATCCCAATCAAAAAGACCTGATGTTGGTGCCCCTGCCTTCCACTTTTGTGTTTTTGTTTCCATCTACTAATTAAGCGCCGTGGTGCATTCAGCAGATCACCGCCACAGCACTCCAAAGATCTAGACACAAGTAGTTGAACATACCAAGGTTTGTTTCAATCCCTTGATAGTTATGTTATAGTTATGTTATGTTCTTCTATTTGGTTCTGGCGTTTCCGCTGATCAGGACCACCCGTCTTTCTCGAGGACGGAGGACAACGAAGAGCGCTCAGAGAACTCGAACGTCATGAGCACCTTTGGGCTGTCAATTAGCAAGTCGGAAGTCAAACAAGGGTTTGTCTGACCCAGCTCGGAGAATTCACATCTGTCCGGGCCATTTGAGGGCAGCGAGGGTGCTGCTCAGCACAGATGCGGACTGGGAGGCGGAAGGCGAAGGTTCCAGCAACAAGGCTAAGGGCGGTCTGGGCAAGAAAGGAAGAACAACTGTACTTTACACCGGTACGCGTAGTAACTGTGATCCAAAGCGCAATTTGCAAACAAAAGCCATGTTGCAGCAAGGACAAGAAGCCCAAGAAGAGATCAAGCAAGAAAAAAACAAGGTGCTGCAAGATGCCAAGAAGGCGTGCGAACAACGACCGACCTTGCGCCATTCACTGTTCAGGCATGGTACCTAAGAGATGCACCACCAATTGGTGGATGTGAACGACCACAACTGGGTGGACCGGACGCCCAAGTGTCATCACGATTCGCAACGTTTGGATCTAGATCTCTTCCGTTCTTTTTACGAAGAAGAAGACCAAGTGGCATTAATGGCATCTGGGACTTCTTGGATTAACAAAGCTGACCCACCACTGAGTGAACGTTGATGTCTGAATTTTGTGGTGCAGTCCCAGGTGTAGATCGGAGCGCGGCCACGGACACGGTCATAGCACGTCAGACACCGACGCCATGCGTTTCCTTGCCCATGTTTCCAAATATTTCACAAGACGAACGAAAACAATGCCCTATGGTGTGCAAAAACTGGTCAGGCTGCTGGCTGCAAGGAGACGCATTCGAAAATTTAAATGCGGACCGCTCGTGTCCAGCTGCCACTTGCTGCCCTTGTTGGTCTTGCTCTTGGAGGCTCTTGGAGGCTCTTGGAGGGTCAGGATGGGTAGATCTCTATGTATATATATAGACAGAGAGAGAGAGACTCATAGAATCACGTACTATGTCATCTTTGAGGGTGACATGAGGCCTTTGCTCGAACGTGCTAGTGAAACCAATCCTTTGGACTTACTGGGTTTGGGGCAACCACTCAAAACATATCCAATTTGGAGGCGGTAGAAGATGGCGTCTTCTAAACTCTCTGAGTCTCCTTGGATGAGCGTGCGCCCAATCTGCAGAATGGCACGAGTGAAGGGAGCGACGGCCGTTGGAATGTCGGCTGGCCGCTGCCAATCATCCTGACAGCGGGGCGCGCATGGACCAAACGCGCCCAGGACATGCCAAGCATGTGATGAGGTCGGGGGCTTGAGATGTGCATTCTAAGAATGGAGGCTTGAGATGGCTTGAGGTAGTCCAAGAATTAGGCCAGTTGGTGGTTTCAACCCACTTGAAAAATATTATATAATATTAGTCAGAGGGCCAATCATCCCCAAGTAAGGGTTGAAAATAGAAATATCCGAAACCATCACCTAGTAGGCCAATGAGACCCCACCATCAAAGGAATGTATGTTCAACTGTCTCGCCGAAACATGCCTCCTCAACGGTAACTGTTTCATCTGCCACTCCATGCCACTTCCACCGGTGCTGGGAACTTCTCGGGGTAATTCCCAGCCCTGCTCAGTCACATTCAGATAAATCCCTGGGTGCCATAAGTCCAGAGCAAATGACACCCACGAGCAGACCTTCATTTTCTGCTGCTTATCCATCTCATCTCAACCGCCAGAAGGCCAAGCACCCTGGGGATCCGGACCAACACTAAAGCGTTTCTCTTTCGGGTCCGACCTTCATCCACCAGCGACCCCCTACCGCCGTTCCGTTTCGCCTCGCTTCCGTTCGCCGTTCCGTTCCACCGAGGAGCCACGGAGCAGTTGACCTCGTGGCCTAAGGTGCTGGTCGTCGACCTTGGGCCCACGATCTCGGTGGCCCAAGGGAGCGCCTCCCAATCCTTGGGCACGCGATCGCTCGCGGACGGACGGATCGATACCGCGCGGACGGACGACGAGGGGGGGGGAGGGGAGTGGGACTGGGGGAGGTTGGATGGGTGAGGTTGGATGGGGCCCGGGTGGATGGTTTTGTGAGAATGACTCGTGATGCATGGTGAAAACAGTGGAGCGGCGAGGAGATCAGCATTTTGAGCTAAAAGAGTTGTGAGGATTTTTGAGATGTGTGGGAAGAAATGACAGCCGTGGGTGACCAATGTGTGGGATGGACCATGAAAGCCCCGTGATGGCCCTAAACGCAAAAGAAATGGCTTGGATTTCGGGGGGAGATGGGGAGAAGTAGTACTTTGATCAGCTCGTTCATGAAAAAGACCTGCACCCCTCGTCGTCTCAACAGCATCGCAATGGTTCAAGAACACCATGATTGGCCCTCAGAGTCCAAGGACATGACTCACCTTACTCCCTTGGGTAATGTTACTACTACTAATTGTTGTATATTGGCGGTGATACTCTTCAGACCCCCTGGATTGTTCGCTAGGGGGGGCCTCTTTTTACGAATTAAAAATCCAACAGTAGTGGATCGATCTCTCCCAGGTGACCGTCACATCAGTCATCAGCGGGGGTTTCACTTGAGCTGGCGCTCGCAGGGGATGGATGCAAAGGTCGGAGGCCCGGCCTGGTAGTATTCAGCCTCCAAGTCCTGCACCATACAGAGCTCCGTAAAGTCGAAGGAACTCGGTGAATCCACCAAGATCTGGGAATAGATCCTCAGATCTTGAAACACACACCAAGAAGAAGACCCAGCTGAAGATATGATTTCGGCCCATCTGGAACCAAACAACTTGAAACTTCAGGCCTGAGAGTACGTGTTTGATCCGGCTTCAGATCAAATGTTGGAATGTTGGAGATGCTTGCACGCATCAAATCTCATACTTCTTGGTGACCTTCACCGGTGAATATAGGGCACATATACCGTGCATCCGTGCGCATTCCATGGACCATGGACCCCGTGCTCCCTCCCTTGGATGCTCGGCTCCCTCGGCCGACATTGGAATAAATATACCAGGGCCACGGATGTCTAATTAGAGCTCCTTAGAGGTTAAGGGGTATACCATTAACCACCCCAAGCAGGGGGACCTGGATGTAAAGAAAGATCCGTGCATCTGTGCAGGAGGACCGGAAAATGCATCCCATTGAACGTTGGGAACACGCCCGGCGGTGGAGGGGATCCATGTTGGTCTGAAGAGTCGTGGTTCATGCAGGGTGGTGCTTGTGTGGTGCTGTCAGCAGTGCACACGACACACAACGGGACTCCTCATGACACTCTGGCTCACTAAGTTGGAAATGGAAAAAAACACCTGTTTGTAGAGGAAAAGGGTCTTCAGCCGGGGCCATGGTCCATCCACTTCCATGTGATGTGTTCGTCAGAGTGTATGACCTCCAAGGTCCGGTTGATTCAATTCGATGCTCTTCACATTGCTCCAGAACAGGTCTTCCGGACAGAACTGGTGCCATTCGTTCGTGTGTTCATGTGTCTGGTTGAGGGAACTGGTGGACTGGTGTCCTCCGATGGAAGGCAAAACCCCCAAGGGGTGACACCCCTTAACAGCTAAGGGCCTATAAATAGACGCGCCTTGGAGGGTCCTGGTAGATATTGATATATGTGATGTCTCATCATTTAGATAGATAGATAGATAGATAGATAGATAGATAGATAGATAGATAGATAGATAGCTAGCTAGCTAGGTAGGTAGGTAGGTAGCTAGCCAGACAGACAGACAGACAGATGTTATAGAACAATAATGATAAATAGATACTAAACAAAGAAACTGACCTTGGACCTTCCAAGGTTCGGCATGTTCCGAGTCATCTTGAAGAAGACGTTGAGGATATTGTCCCCGTTCTCCTCGGCTGGTTCCGGTCCCCTTGAGTCCTGCGAGGGTGGGGGAATGTTGGAAACGATCGAAGGGATTGATTCTTCCACAACTGGCGTTGGGGACCTCCCAGAAAGATACTCCCTGGAAGGAAAACAGACCAGTCTACCGATTGGTTGGTGGTGTCCCTGTGTCGCCGACCACGTGCTTCCCGACTCCCTCAACTCTCCTGGAAAAAGGAAGGGTGACGCGAACTGTCCACTTGTTCCATGCGCACCGGGGATAATGAACTGTTCCCCAAAAGAAGTGTTCATTTGTGTTTTGCACGCGAGGGCCTTCAGCGACTTATAAACATAGAAAAAAAACAAGAAACATGCTGGGTACCTACTAGCGATGGCCTCCAACCTACTAGCGATGGCCTCGAACCTAAGCGCGATGGCCTCCCATCCAAAAGCAAATCAAACCAGGTCTCTGAGAAGTTGCTGGGTTGGATCACCTCACCCTCCAAGGTGCCCAAGACCGCTAAGTTGCCGACCTTAGGATCCGGTGCGCGTCCACGGGCTCGGAGTTCGGGCTCGGTCGGGAACGAAAGGAAGAGCTGCCTGTGGAAAGAATCGGGTATGAATAGGTTTTATGATCCGAAGCCTTCCAGCTCTTCCTCCAGCTCTTCGTTCAGGCAGAAAATTCTCGGCACAGTGGGAAGATCTAGGTACTTTCTGTGGGGCGGGGCCTACTGATCATGAGCTCTCACATCGAGAGCGAGGTGATGGACTAGCACTAGAACAGCAGCGTCGTCAAAATGCAAACCTCTGCCTGAAAAAAACAGATGTACAAAGCCCGCGCTGCTTGAAGGGAACAACTCATAACAACTCAGGCGAATGATTCCAAACGACAAGGTTTCCCTGCTCCTCCGACTGAAGCCTCGAGGGGAAGAGAGAAAAAAGCGAAACTACAAGCAAGTGCTCCTAGGTGCATGCACTTTATGGTCTACGATGGTGCTATTTATTCTCAGGGCAGTTGGTGTTCTCTCAAGTGGACGATCTTCGGTCTCCGTGTCGAAGAAGTTGAGGTGCACACCCATCCAGGCAGCGCCTTCTCCTCCTCCAGTGACAAGAACTGAGCTGGGCCTCCCAAAGTCTCACCGTTGGAAGCCACCAGTTGGATCCTGGGCGAGGCCAGCGTCCGAGACCCGCTGGGGCAGGCAGACGCGCGGGTCGCGCCGGCGCGAGCGAGGTGCATTCAGGCGGGCGGGGGTGTCTTGGGACACGTGGAGGTCATCGAGGGAGGTGGAGTTCTTGAAAGTTTGGGCCCTACACACCTGGACCATCCTGTCTGGGTGTGGGTGTCCTGACTACTCCACACGACTTCATGAGTCATGAGGGATCTGCAAGCAGGACACCCAAACAGGATGGTCCTGGTCGGAGATGGGCGATTGAGCGGGCCGGAGACAGAGAGTTGAGCGTTACATGTGTCAGATAGTGTCAGTCGTGCTCTGGCTACCCTTGTTGGTGGCTAGTAGGACAATGATTGAGCCCATCTTGCCCAAGCAGCACATGCGTTAGGAGGGGGTGTGTATGGTATGGGCCTCTTTGGGGCATACATGGGAATTGGACATATGGAGTGGAGTCAACAGGCAGCTACGCAGCTACTTGTCCAAGCTGACCATTTGCAACCTTGCAATCTTGATTCCGCAAAAATGTTTCTGCTTTCCTCGGCGGGGCCAGGTGGTCGAGCCGAAACACAGTCACTCCCTCACTCTCTCTCTCTCTCTCTATATATATATATATATATATTTGTATATATTATGTGTGTGTGTGATTGAGAGTAGGTGGCACAGACCCTAAGAGATGGTTTATATGGACCCCCATCTAAAGGACATCTTGGGGTCTGCGCCATCGAACCTCTGAAACCACGGTAATGTGTTGTTGATGAATAATCATCCGTTATTTTGGGCCCACAGCCATTGTAACTGTTCCCCACTTCGATGCTCTTCCCGACCTCTTCCCGGCCGATCTGGGTGGTTTTTCACCGCGCCACCTCCAAACGTTGGACGGATCGTCCTTCAGCAACGGCCGCAGCGGGTTCTGCACGGAGATGCGAACATCCGCGAACTGATTCCTGGGGGCAGCAGCTCCACCGACCGCCCGACGCGCGGCTCGCGCGGCTCGACCGAGACGGCTCGACCGAGAACGCGGAGGGTCTCGAAGGGCGAAGGAAGAGCACCGGTCCTGGGGTCTGCAGACGACCCGGGCCTACTCGAAGCCATGAAGGTCCAGGTGCATTGTGTCCCCTAGGCTTCCAACAACCATTAATTTAATAGGCTTTACCCAATCAACTAAGGATTTTACAATACAAAAACCAGGTCAACCATTGTTTTAATGGTCTTTGACTCCCAGGGTGTCGGAACTTCCAGATTTCACAGGGCTGTCTGTGGCGATGCTCTGCAGCTCTGTAGGAACCTGTGGCTTCCTGTCTGTGGCTACAGCTGCAAAGCCGGATCGTCCATGCACGGCATGTAAGCAACTGCAAAGCAACATCCAGAATTCAGTCCAACTATAGAGTTGAACGTCCAACTATAGAGTTGAACGTCCAACTATAGAGTTGAACCTGTGATTTCAGAACTTACAAATTGAACGCGGATCCTCCAAACATCTCCGGCAAATTTGACCATCGACTAGATCACATCTCATGACCAGCACGTGGGCGGCACAGTATCTACCCTATACCTACCCTCAGCAACCCTCAACATCCCAAAACGATCGTGTCAACCACAGTCGTGCCTGTCATGTCTACCATTCGACCCAAAGGGACCAGGGACGGAAGGGACCAGGAAGCCCGAGCCAAAGACCGAGAGGGCCGAGCGGGCCTTCGGGGTGCGGCTGGAGTGGGACTGAGTGTGGTTGACCCACCGGCCCTAGGCTAGATGTCCAAAGACCCTGACTGGCCTATGAACTATATAGTAGTTACTGTATATTAATATATGTGTGTGTGAACTGCCTAGCTTCAGCCTCAAAAACATGGACGATATGTTGACCGGCTGAAGTGTTGGACCTTCCTTTCCGGGACCCCGCTCCTAGACATCTCAAGACCAGTCGTTTTAGTCTTCAACTCCTAGACTCTCATGACCGGCGTCGGCTCGGATGGCTCGTGGCCCACGTGCGCCCAGTCCCAGTCCATGGTCGGTCGCTCCCTGCTGAGTGGCGCGAAGAGCGCGGCAGTGCCTTCCAAGGCGTACTTGCACATGGAGCCCTCCGACCTGGTGCTACGGCCCCCAGGTGCTCGATGGCAGGGTGGCTTATAGGGAGCCGCGCGGGCCCGATGGTCAGAGAGGGAGAGAGAGAGCGCGCGCGAGACGAACGGGCTCCTGGCATCGCCACGAGGAACAAGGACGCTACTAGGGAGCGCAACATCAACTTAGCTTCCGGGGCTGGGCAATTTTGTCCCCAAGTCGTGTTTGTGCCGCCAAACTTGCAGTTGAAGGCAAGAAAACCTCCCAAAATCCCGTGCTGGACAATCCAAGGACCACCGGGCAAACGTGCCTAGCAAATGAGCTGAATCTGTCAATCTTCGAGGTCAAACATGAAGTTCAAAAGCAAGTTCTGAAAACAAATTGGAAGACAAATGCGGGATACTAACTCGCTCGGATTCACCCAAACACTTGAGACACTTGAGGCGAGGGGTAGCACTTCATCTACAATCCACAGGGGTTCGAGGTCAGCCCTCCCCGTCGCACCAGCTCCAGCTGACCTGATCAGTGAGAAATTCACTTGGTAGCTGATTCCGGCCCCCAGCCAAAAACTTGACAAGCAAGAGCAACTCCAGCTAGCTGATGCTAGCTTTCTTGATATCTAGCGATCTATCGATCTATCTAATCTAATCTAATCTAATCATAATCTAATCTAATCTAATCTAATCTAATCTATCTATCTATCTATCTATCTACCTACCTACCTAGCTAGCTAGCTATCTATCTATCTATCTATCCTTCTATCTATCTTTATGTCTTGTTCTTTCTTTTCTATTCTATTCTATTATATTCTATTCTATCTTATCTATCCTATCTATCTATCCTATCCTATCTGTCTATCTATCTATCTATCCATCCAACAATCCATCCATCCATTCCATCTATCTACACTAAAACGACTTCCATTCCTTATTTAAAATATATAGTTTGGATTGGCTGAGGTCTGAGTCATGGGCTCAATACAGTCAAGAACACCACCAACAACCAGCATTGCCGGCTGAGGGGCGACCATTCCCCACTAAAGAGGGTGCTCATCGGATTGTCCTTCCAGCCATCATCGTTCAGATCTTGCCTCGCATCGATCTGGCTGAGAGGAGTGCGTGAGTTCAGATCTTTGGAAGCTTGTGAGGTGCCTCAGTGCCCCTGGAAATTAAAGGTTACAGCCACTCTAACCGAGGCATCCACCTGTTCTTCACACATGCGAGCCGTCTTCGCCGACATTGAACACTGCCAAAGGAAAGCAAGGGTATGAGCACCCTGCGGACAAGCAGTCCGCCCAAGAGCCCGGCAAGTCCTGTAGGAGCTGACCCAACCTTACCCTGGACAACTCTATCAAAGCGCGCACCCAAGGAAAACAGAAGGAAGAAACTACAATTCACTCAGTGAAACCGTCCACTGCTCGTATGTCTTGCCCCAAACAACGGAGAAAAAGGCGTGCTCGTATGTCTTGTCCCATCCTCTCAAGTGGTGACAGCCACAGAACTTTCCACCTGTTCCACCATCCAACATTCGCCCTCATTGAGGCTGCCGACTCGGAACACACGGAACACTCGCGAGTCAAATGAAACAAAATGAGTGGGAGATCTCCACCCAATGTGTGAGGGCAGACCCTATCCACAAAACCAGCGTAGATGTAGACGCGACACACGGGAAAAGTCGCAAAGAAGCTCGCATCTGTTCAAGCAAAAAGGACCATGCCTTGTATCCGCGACCTGTTCATTTGAGTGAGGAAAGCGATCAAAAAAAAAATTAAGGCATCTTCAGGCTATATAAAGCTTGTCCACTTTTCCTGGGTATGCATTGGTGTCACCTATAGACGTTCCATCGGTGCATGAGGTCGCGTGCACAGCGCAAACGCGCGTTGCCTGTGGTGAGGGAGGCAGCCTGTGTATGCCTATGTATCGAAGGTCTTCTCAAGTTGTCTTAGTACAGGCTGGAGGCCATCGCTAGTAGGTTGGAGGCCATTGCCAGCAGGTCGTAGGGTGGAGGCCACCCCTAGTAGGTTCTTAAAGTCTTTTGCATTGGATCAGCTTCCTCGAAAAACATGTCAGCCATGCTTCTGAGAAGAGTTGTTCGCGTCCCAACTCGTTAGGCCTGTTCTCACCAGACCCCTGCGGCTGCCTGACCCCGCCAAGCCCACCCCCAAACTAAGATGGACCCTAAAAATCGACCCGTGTGTCCTTCCATTTTCCTCCACCACCCAGTGGTGGTAGGGACTCCATGTTCACCTGCAGGGAAGTACCAAAACCCCGGTGGATGCACGTGGAACGCGTCGACCGCTGGGCGCACCGTCTTCGCCCCAGCGCCCAGTGGCTGGAAAAAGCTCTTCACGCCCTCCGGGTCAGCGGTGCCATTGCCTCGAGTGGGAGCCAGAGAACTGGGGTACTTCATGGTGAGTGCTCAAGAGGAATAAAACTTATCCAACAAAATACATGTAAGAGTCTACATGCTGAACGCCCGCCCACAGCCTGACTGCCTTCGCCCTCCAAGCCGAGTTCTCAAGAAAAAACAGGAAGATCGACTCTTTTCGATCTTTTCGTCAGCATTGCAAACTTCACCTCGCCCAAGGCTTGTTCTGACTCATTTCACGCGGGACCGATGCAACCCCGCAGCCGTTTGGCGTCAACGCGTATCGCCGGTGGAAGTGATGAGGGCCAGGAGATTTACTTCTAATATCTTGAGGGCGTTGCGCAAAGCTTTGAGCTGTTCTTCTAATTGAACCCTCTGAATTTTTTGTGTTGACCCTGCTAGGGGTGGACTCTCAAACTTTGAAGATCGGCAACTTGGTAGCGTGACATGGCATCCACTGCTATGTGCGTTCAGTCGGATATCATGTGCGTTCAGTTGTGCAGTTGTGAAGCGATTCGACGTGCAACAAACCTTTTAACCAAAAAACATGTTCCCGTCAATCAGCCAACTCTGGGAACCGCAGGTCCAAAATCAGCCAAGGGACCCACCACACTGCACAAATAGCCACTGGGCAAGAGGACTTGGATCTGTGCTGGCTGGAGATTTCGTTCCTCCTCCGTCCACTCCGTGATGTTCCTCGGAGAGTTCCCTTTCGAGTTCCCGTTCAGTGCTGAGGAGTAGCGACGAGTGACTCAAGAGTTACCATGTTGTTGTGCGGTATTGGGCTGGTTCGTGGTATACAGTAGTTGCTGGTCAATCATCTCAAGTAAAGGCTGAAAACAAAAATATCCGACACCACCATGCCAGTTAGTCTATTCAGGGTGCACCCTGAAAACTTTGCTGGGGACTGACGCTCCCTACGATCCACACATAGTAGGTGTTGCTACTTCCCACATCGTAGCAACTTGAACTACAGTACTAGCATGGACTTCACCGTCTACCCCATGCTATCTGTCATTACACCGTAGGATTCAGATGTCCTCTGCATCCGATCATCCATTTACCGAGCTGAGTATCTCCTCATCCGGAGGTGGCACATTCCTGGAAGCTGGTTGATCCGGCGGTTCCAACGGAGTCCGTGTCGTTCGACACATCTTGATCCATCTGAAAGTGCTTCAGGGCTGCCTGGCCTCCAAGTCTTGAGCCCCCGGGAATGCCGCAGAACCCACACCCACCAGGGCAATGCGTGCGACCCTAGGGTCTGCAGGGGGGCACCTATCCGGCAGTCTGGCACCGGGCAGTCTTCACAGTACTATAGAAAGTCCAATTGAAAATCGTCTGTGTTTCTTTCTGTTTGTCTGTTCTTTTCGTGCCTTTTCCTTGTTCAGACCTTGTCTTTGCCCTTCTTTCTTCTCTTCTTTTGTTTGTTTTCCCTCCCCCCTCGGGGTCCTCAAGGTGGCCCCCAAGGTGAGACGCACGATGATCTCATTGCCCACCTCGAAGGCGAAGGGCTTGGGGCCATTGCCCGCTTGCCCGTCCACCTGAGCGGCTAGCGAGCGTGTCCGCCGCGACGGGCATGCGAGTTCAACTGGAGTGGTCTGGCCTTGCCTGAAAAGAATCCTCAAAGAATCCGCCAGCGCCCAGCGCTGGGCATCGGTCGCTTCGCAAACATCCGGCCCAACTCGGCCTTCCAACTCGGCCACACTCCCGTCTCCACCCATTTTCCGCAGCTGATAACGGCTTCGCACAGGGGCTTCTGCGCCCCAAGGCACGAGCTGAGGCCGAGGGACCAGGATTTGGCCCGTGGTCGCTCCGCTGGAGGGCGCTTTCTTGAAGCAGGGCGTCACAAAAAGCATCGAGGGCTGCCTGGAGACCGCGCACCGGCTTGGGAAGGAGTGGATCTATGGTGCCTGGTCCCAATCAGAAACAACTCGTGGTTCCAATATCGCAAGTGAGGTCCTTAGTGCCTGTTCGGGTTTTCCCATCCAGTTGTTTCTGGTTCTTTGGGTTTCCAAGTGTGTCTTATGTAAAAGCGTGAAGGGATGGTATCAAGACTCCAAAGGTCCTCCCATTTTTAGACGATTGTCCGATGATTGAAATCGCTTTCACTTGGGGTGACAGTGCGAACCCATACGGAGCACACATGGTGAAACCGGTGACACCTTTCTCACGTGCTGGTGAAACATATGACGAAGCCCGGCATAGAGATCATGAATCTGAGTCGACTCAAATCAGCTCTCGATTGGGGGGCGTCCAGTAGGTGATCATGGTGATCTATGCATCTCCTGAATGCCGAACATGTCTGTACGCAGGATTTATATAGAATCAAAATCAGATCAATCTCCGCTGCACCAAAACAGAGCCAGTCGGATTTCCACGTTGGACCGTCGGATGGAGACAAAACATCGCCATGTCGCCATCGGCACGGGTACTTGGGGCGTCCTGTCCCGGATCCCTTCGGTCTGTGTCCGAGGTGCATATCTGGCGGCTCCAGGTACTGCGCGATGGTGCACATGGGAAAGAAGCCCTCCTTGGGGAGTCGCAAACTCCTGTGGCTCCGATCAGGGAGACTGCCGCAGAAAAGCTGCTAGGAGCCTGAAGGAACCTAAATCCATCACCGGTCTCAACACCAACTGAGGCTCTGACACTTCCAACAAACCCATGTAGTTCAAAACACATGACCAATGACCATCAAAGGAAATAGATCTTTCATGGATCTTTCTACCATGTCTTCACCTCATCGAACTCATCACAGTCGCCGGACGGCCGGGCCGTCCTGAGCTCGATCATATGAGCCTGAGCTCGGTGACAGCCCCAGCCAAGCGGCTGAGGATTCCGACGTCTCGAGCCAAGCTATCAAGAGGATGTTCAATTCAAATGGCTGGGGTTATGGTCCTCAAGAGTCTACATTGTCTACATTATACTACCATTATCACTACCACTATCACTATCACATATATACTATCACTATCTTTGCTCGCAGTCACAGCGCAGTTGATCAGGCACATGCCATGATCTCGGTACCTATATAAAATCTATATAAAGGAATCGCCCCAGCCGAAGACTGGACATGGAATGACCCAGCCGAAAGAATTGATGGATTGACAAACTCAACACGAGTTGATCAGTGGAGGGGATTCCAAAAAGCTCGCTCGGTCCAGGGGTTGTTCCAGATACCAAGCCCATCAAAGCCCCATGGGGTCATCGGGGTCGTCTTTTGCTCGGAATCCGACTTCGTCTCGGTCATCCAGCTTCCGACTCCGGTCTTGCCCACCCGGTTCGGAGCCTCATCCATGCGATCGTCCGGGATTTCATCCATCAAATTGGGATACCTCGCGATGTCTTCCGGTCGATCCAACGAAGACGCAGGTCGACCCATCGAAGGCCGCAGGGCGCGGGACGCCGTCGCCGGGTCGGGCGTTCTGCGTGGTCGGGCGTCGGGTGTCGTTGGCACGGCGTCCGGCGGGGGAGACAGTGGTCCAAGCAGTTCTTTCGAAAGATGAATAGAGGAAGTTCTTAGACTCGGGTCGTCGGTGCTTGGACCTGTCACGGCTTATCGGCTACTTCGATCTAAATGACTACCTAGCACACCTAGCACTTCCTGTCTGGGCGCGCTGACTGGCCTATAAGTAGGGTCAGTCGGGCAGCCTATTGGACACCCAAACAGGATGATCCTGGTATTACCCTAAGAATCCGAGCCCGAACCAACACATCGGGTTTGGGAACCGGGTGCGGATCCCGTTTCGGTGGAGGTCGGGTCCGACCCCTGCCATGCTCCCAGGGCACGGTTCAAGTCATGGCGCGGATCTGGCCTCTAGGGCCTCTAGGGGAAGTCTTCACAGGTCTGACTGTGCATAAGACTTCCGTTCGACCATCAAAGAATTGGGAACGACCTGGTGTTTGTAGTGTAAAATCCTTAGTGGATTCGGTAAAGCCTATTAAATTAATGGTGGTTGGAAGTTTAGGGTATATATATATAATACATAAACTACAGTATATACCTGGCCCCACCAATCTTCCCAAAGCCCCATAGCAAGGACGCTATTAGGTGGAGGCCATCTTCCTAAAGACCCAGATCGGCCAACCAGCCGAAGAGCTCTATCTCCAACAAGTTCTGCTGCATGAAAACATCTCTCCTGACATGAGACATGAACCGGAGAGCGACGCGGGCAAAACGATGCAAATATATTGCCTCCTGCTTTGGACCCAAATGGAAGTGAAAGGTGGCTCCCCAAAAGGCCAACTGGGCTCTAAATGAGGGGCCATCCTGCGCTTGCATGCGCTTGCTTGCGCTTGCACTGACTGCAGCAGGACCATTGCTTCTAGAACTTCCTATGGTTCCCACTGACTGGTCATGCAGGTCCTATCTGTTCCAAGAACATCGCCGTCCCACAATCTCCCACATCCCACGTTGGGGGCCGTTCCAGATCTTGGGCATGTTTCTTTCCCGATCCTGTCGGGGGCACTAACAGACAAACACCGACACGGACACAATTCTCGCTCTTTCTCTCTCTCTCTCTCTCTCCCTCCCTCTGAACAGAAACACGTTCGCCCAGCCGGTGAATGTGGATCGACCACCGCCTTGAATGCATTAGATTCATCCTTATGATCCACCCTGAATTCAGGATCCTTGCAGGATTCTCATATTTTCCCCCGATCTCCATCAGGGCCCCAGCCACACCTGAGGCTCCCTGAGGCTCCGGACACCTGTTTCGTATCGACCACCGCCTTCAGCTGACATTGCGCTTCATTCAGCCCCCGGACGTCCACACAGGTGAGCTCCTAGGGACCCACTGGGCCACGGGCGCGGTCGGGTTCGGAGGGTGGGCACTTCTTCTATTCGGCGTGGCTACAGGATCTAAGAACTGAATGGAACTCTGGATACAGCGCAATGACCTGAATGAAGCGAGTTGAGAAAGATCCAAAGAATGAAGAGATTGGTACCATCTCCCAAGGCCAAGAGCACGATCCTCAATGATCTTCAACAAAGAAGAACCGCAAAATGCCAAATCACCTCCTCCAAAAATTCAAGAAGTGGAGCGCACTCTCAATCATACAGTATCTTCAGAAGAGGAACCAGGAAACCACTCTTTCCAGTTTCTCAATGCTCACATCTTCGATCGCCACCTCCACCCACCACCCGTTCCTTCCATATCTGTGCTTCCCATCCCTGCACATTCATCCACCTCCATCCGCTCTCTTCAGCTTCACTCACTTAGCAAGTCTCTGGTGCAGCAATGCACGTGGCGTTGCACCCTTGCCCCTGGCCTTCCGCCAGCCTGGCACGGAGGATGACGCTTCGGCTTGGGCGGACGACTGGAGATGGGAGCAGCCACCCTTTCTCCGAGCAAATGGATATCATACAGCATCCGAAATCCGAAACATCCGTGATATATATATATACATTAATAGGTACATATCTACATATACAGTCTATATTAATCTATATTATATATCATGTTGATTCATGTTAATTATATGTCAAAAATATTGTACCATATCTACAGTCGGTTGGGCGTAGGCTGCACGAAGCAGCCAAAGGACCACTCATCCACAACATTCCACTACTCCCAAACAAACCGGTCCATGGCATCTGATCTGTCCCGCGGATCTGTCGCGGGGTGTCCTTCTTTTGCCGGTGCCTCCACACCGTCAAGGGCTGGAAGATGATCTGCAGCCGTCCAGACCGTTGGATGGGATAGGCGCCATCGCGGACGAAGACCCTCAAGCCCAGTGTGGAACTCCCCGAGGCCTGGAGCCGCGAAGCCGTCGTGCCGGGTGGACCGGGGAGGTCCGAGAGCGTTGGGTTCGGAGGTCCAGAGATGCTGACTGGTGCCACGTGTGTGGCGCCCCTCTCATCCTCCTCACCCCTCCTCATCCCGATCGCTCTCGCTCTCGCGCTCTCTTCCATCGCGGAGCCGCGGCTTCCGCCGAGCGCGCGGAGCCGCGGCGTCCGCGCCGGGCCTCCAGCTGCAAGGCCTCGTCGCTTTCCTGGGCGAGGCGAGGAATCCCGATAACAAATAAGGATGAAAAGAAGGATAAAACGAAATAGAAAAAGGAACCCCGTGGAAAATCATCAGCTTCTCTACTTTGCTAAGTCTTGCAAGGAGTTCATCCGGGTTTCTGTCTGCACTGATGAATGCAAGCCGTGAATGGGCTTGCTCGTCACCATGCTAGTTGGAGGGGAATACTTAGTTAGAAGTTCTAGTTGCAGCATCTCAAGCCATTTAAGTTTGACCCACCGCCTCTTACAAACCATCCCTCCACGCAATTATTGCAGCTTCCCCCTTGGCCAGGCTCTCGCCAATAGCACTTTTGGGGGCACCGAGCACTGCATCCAAAAGCGCAAAGAATACTACTGCAAGATGCATGACTTATGGTATGGCAGTTCTTGGGGGCATCCTCTACCCGGACCCGGACCTTCAAAGTGACCTTTCCATTATTTTATCTCAGAAGGAGGTCATATGAGGCCACTTAGGCCTGTCAAAGGTCACTTGGAGACTCTCAATTTGAAGGTCCTCGTGCCCAGCCTTCCATCTTCTACCCCAGGCCACCAACCCGTGGTGCTCGTGGCCGCCCCCCACCAACCCACCCTTGAACACCCTGGTCCACCACACCGAGCTTCTCCGAGCCCGAGTGGACCTGCTTGTAGCGCGGTGGATGCGTGGTAGAGCTCGACGCGGGCGAGCTCGGTGCGGTTGGCTTGAGGCGCCTTGATGCGTCTCTGGGGGATCACCTCAGGCGCTCTGAGGAACGCGGGCGAGGTGAAGAAGGAACCACGACGAAGAGCCGCTTTTTGGGGCACGGAAAGGCGAGGGATGGGATTGGAAGGGGCAGTGAGGAAGCAACACCAGCCAAAGGGGGGTTGAGAGGCCCCCGTGATGATGCATCTTCCTGTCAATCACCAACCTCAGTGCTGGAACATGATTTACCTGTACAAGCCTTCTGCGTCAGACTCTTTGGTTCACGAATCGGCCTTGAGTAGTATAGTGGATTGATAGTAGATGGCACAATCCCCAAAGGGTGGCTTATATGGACCCCCATCTAAAAAGGACATCTTGGGGTCTGTGCCATCGAACCTCTGAAACCACTGTAAGTCTGTAGGTGTTTCCACCGAACATGGGGTCCCTAGGGACCGATGAACTCCCAGGGATGTCTGGCTCCGTGCCGCGTCCACTTCCGAGGACGACCCGAGGACAGCAGTGTTCGGACAGCGGTGTTCGGCGGAGTTCCAGACGAAAGCCAAGCCTTTCTTGTCTTGAAACGAAATCGTCCGAAAGTCTGGTTCCAGCGGAGGGCCTGGCTGGGGCCACTATTGTAGGAGGCATCAACAAGCACAACGATCATCCACTCCTTGATCGGGCTTGCAACTATCTCGTATACCCACCAAATACCGACTCATCCACTCCTTGGGGCTGGAATCATTATGAATAGGTACCAAGTTAGGTACCAATGGGGTCATGGGCCAATGGGGTGTCCATGTCTGCAACTAGATTCCAGTCCCATACCGTCTGGCATGACCTTCACAGTGGCACAGATTCGTCCTCGTCCGCAATACGGCGGTGTTCTTCCCAACCGCCTTGAAGTAAAGGGTCATAAAAAGTTCCTGAATCCCCACCCCCCCTAAGATCAATGGACTTCCAACATGTACTGACATGATTCTTTCTCGAGTGCTGCCAACCTGTCAGACTGCCAAAAAGCTACGTAAGACCGAACCTTCATGGGGCATTGAAGTTGGAGGCGAAAAGGGGGTTCCACACGGTGGCGTTTTCACCGTTCTTGGTTGGTCTGCCTTTTTTTCACAGAATTGGCTTTAAGACACAAATCTACAGGAAGCCATGGTCTTGGAGGTTAAAAAACAGGTTTCCTGCAGATGTTTCCCTTAAACCAAATCATTGATCTTGGGGTCGGTGCTATGGGGTCACTTAAAGCCAGGGTGCCGCGCCATACTCGATGATGCTATACCTCGGCCCACAAATCGTGCTGTAGCCTGAGCGTCCAGCGCAAAACCTCGGCGGACATGCACCGGAACCGGCGGAAAAGATCGTCCTCGTAGACGGATCCTTCAACCTCTCCCTGGAGGCCTGGGAAGCCGTCACTCCTGGAGACCGGAGACGGGTCGTTTGGGGTTCCAGACCTCGCGCTGGGCGTCACCCACGTGCGTTCCGGGCAGCTACTTCCACAGCTGGGCACCCCTTGTATAGAACAAGACGCGGAAAGGCGCGGAACGAAGTGGAAAACGGTACGAGTGACTTCGCCCTCCCAGCTTGGTAGTAGGTGCTTGTACCTCCCAATCTCTCCCAAGACATCGAACGGGGTAACGGCTGCCATGTCTCACCTCTGAACACCGCGGCAGAAGACGGTAGAGAACCAATGCGAACTGCCAGCATTAGCCGTTTTGGGGCAACCGAATTCTTTCGAGTTTTTGGTCTTGACGAATGGAGGGACTACTGGGGCCTAGGGGAAGTTAGGATTTATATAGGGGATTATAGGGGAGTCAATGGCTAACTCAGCTCCAAACTGCATCTGCAAAGCAAATCATGAAACTGCGGCTAAGCATCTTATATACTTGTTATACAGAATCACGGTGCATGCGATGTGCGCAGCACTCCAAAGACTCCGAGCTGAAAAAAAACCCTTAACGATCCTTAACGGCACCCGGCACCCCTGGCCCTACCTGCTCCCCTGCTTTGAGCGTTTTGGGACTTCCTCCCTCACCTGGAACCTCAAAGAAGGAAACTCCAACCATCCGCCGCTCGTGCCACGAGTTGAATCCATGTCCCTCTTCTAGGAAATTACGACAAACCCCCCAGCGAGACGTGGAAAAAAGGCTGACCTGAGGTCCAAGAGACGTGTAAAGGCTCACGATTTCCCGTTCGAGCTGAAATTCGTCTTCTTCCACTCCTCAGCTTGCTGCTTTAGTACTTTGCCGGGAACCTCTCTGTGTGAGAGGATTGCGCAAGCATGAGGCTGCCCTTCTTGTAATTGGTATATGGAAGTCGGGCACAGCACTCAATGCAACGGACAGTGCCAGCAATGCCTGCATAGACCCAAACGTTTCCTGCACTTTGTTTTTGTTCCACTTACACCCGCAGCCAAAAGGCTAACACTCCCAAATAGCTGATGGTTCGGGGTTCTTCCCGAAAAAAACCTCATGCTTTTGAAACCTTTTGAAACCGCTTTCATTCGACCATGCTTGTTGGATGAAAAGATCTCGGAGTTTCATCCCTTTGGGTCGACCATCAATCTTTTTGCTGCCAAACCTTCTGCCAAACCGAAGATCTCATGTTGATGACCAGCTGAAAGACGCAGCTTTGCTTTCGCCCATCTGCTCCAGTGCATTGGTCCTTCATGGGGTGACTCGGCTTGAACTCGATGAAGAACTCGCGATACGAGGGCCTCTCCTGCCCGTTCTCCTCAGAAGGACAGTCAGATGGCACCACGGATGGGCGCTGCAGGTGCTACACACAGGTGGTAGTGGGGCCAGGTGGTTCGGAACCAGCTCGTGGGGCCAGCAACTGAATACAACAGAAGCATACGAAAGCTACTCTTCTGCCAGGTCATCCTAAGAATGTCCGGATTCGATGTTGGCTCCCCTCAAATGACCCCCAGACGCCTTGCCAGGTGCATGATACAAACAGCAACTCTTTGCTTTTTCCGAGCACTCAGGTCATTGCCCCAAGGATTCCACGTCACGGGTCATTGCCCTACCCACCTCACACACCCTTTGAGGGTCAACCGGCCCGGTTTCATGCTGCGTCACCCGGTTCGGTCCCGGCGGAGACATCGGTGGCAGCGAGGCTCAGAGACATCGGTGTACAGCTGCCCGTAGTAGCAGCCCTTGGGCAGCGGAAAGCCGCCCACATCATTCGTCCACATCTCCAGGAATAAGCGGCCACAGGCAGCCTGAAAAGCTGGATGGAATCCGCTGCTATCACTGACTGGTGCTGAAAAAGTTGCAGTAGTAGAGAATGAGGGTGGCTGCCTGGCTGGAATCTAAGGTATCTCTGGTGGGGGGGGGTCATTCATGGTCATTCCCTGCACCTGGCGCAGAACTGGTGGATCTGCTAGCTGTTGATCCTAACTGGCCGGTCGGCAGGGGTCCGGATCGAAGCCGAAGACCGAATCGGCGGGGCACTGTCAAGGGCGAAGGTGACATCATGTGAAGGTGACCTTCGTTTCTGGGATGTCCCGCGTCGTCTATCTATATAAGCAGAATTATATAGATGCGTAGCTCAAGACATGGGAGGCCTCCCAGGCAACGACCCCCTCTTTCAGGCTCGGGAAATAAACAGAAAAGACTGAAAACCTGCAAAAACAAGGTCTTTGCATTGAACGTATGCAACCTTCTAGTTGATGTTTTTAATATATATATATATATATTGATACAAAAATGCCAGCTCGCCAGAAAAGATCCATTGATGACATTTTTAGATCCTGAGCCTCACAGTGTGGATAAAACTACGCAGCTAAGTACCCTACTACTCGTGCGTAGCTGTGCAACGAGATGAAACAACTACAGTCCTCTCACTCAAGCCTCCCCCCAATCTGACTCAAGTAAGTAGGATATGCTATATATATATATATATCCCTTAGCTTGTTAATCTGACTCAAGTATATAAGCACTTAAAATCAGACTGACGCAGGCCTGGCTCATCATCTCCGAGCTAATGGACTCGTTCCGGCTCATGTCGAGGCCCTGCGTCGGGTCACGGCGATCACGGACCGCTTGACACTCGAATCGTCGAAGAGTTACTAGACACTCGGTGGGTCAGACATGGGGTCAAGCATTATGTCAATATATTGTGTTATCTTGTGTTATCTACATTGAGGTGGTTTTTGGATGTTTTAGGGGTCAATGTATGTAAATATGCCATAGATGGAGTGTCTGGGTTGTGTTCTCCTGGACTTAAAGAAGCCCAACATGGCAGCGAGAAAACCCTTCAACAGATTCTTCAATTCGAAGGCATCACACATCATCACGATATTCCATGCAAGGTCTCACCTCAGCTTTCACTTCCATGGCCCTCATTTGGCATGGTCGACTGCTTCACGTCCCACCCAGCTCATGGTCATGCCCTTTCACAAGCGCCCTCGCCTGGGCAGTCAAGGGCTCCAGATTCCGTGGGATCTCCTGAAAGAGGATCCGCAAGACGATGGCCGTGTCCCGCCTGGGCGGGCCACACCGGCTTTGGACAAACCAAGCGGAAGGAAGAAGCTGCGGGGCGACCCACCGGCGGTTACACGCCGCAGCTAAACGGCTACCCACGCACAGGCGTCCACCCAACTTTGTACATCATCCTTCTATGACAGGTGTTCAACATTCGTCGTATTTTCGTGGGTGCTTGCTTCCCAAAGAGCCCAGCCCGGCACAGAAAAATCGATCGATGTATGGGAAGTTGGGCGGCATGTATGTTGTCAGATATTGTTCACCTCATGAACATGAGCATGATGGAGTTTTTGATTCATAAGTTCATGATGTTTTTTGAAAAGCTCTCCAAGCCGAGAGTCCGGTAGTCAAGCTTACCTGGGCCGCTGCCAAAAGAACAGCACAAACTATGGCTGCAAAAATGACAGGCGTTCGAACAGAACGGCACAAACAAAAAGGCGATACACTCAGCGCAAATTAACAGAGTACCAAAGATAGACTCTTAAGATCCCTACCTATTTAGCGGGGACCCGCAAAAGATGTAAGTTACAATATCTGGGGGGGGGGGATGGAAAGTGAACCTTTAAAATGTATATAAGCGTATATTTTCCAGGTACAAAATGCAGGCCACGTGTGTGTTTAATGAGCCCAAAAAAAATTACAACTTGACTTGTAACTTACATTTGTTTCAGATCACCCTCAAAGACAGGAAAACAAGCTCCAATCCCCAGCCCCCTTTCCCAATCCCCAGCCTACGGCTGCCCACCTCCTAAAAAATGTAAGTTGCTTCGGGCTAGTGGTCCTGGAAACCATAGAAATACAATAGCAGGGCCCAAGAAAGTTCAGTCATGTACCTGTTGCATCCATTTTTGCAGCCACTAAACCCAGGAAAATGTAAGCTGTCTTGGGTTAGGCCACCAAAAAAACCCATAAAATCATAGAAATACAAGGAGGAGCCATGGGAAGCTTCCAAGACAGGGTGCCACCATTGTTTTGGGCATTGTTTTCACAATGCGTCTTACATCTTCTTACTTATCTTGTTTAAAAGGGGGGGGTCAAGAAACTGTAACTTAGGACGTGGGGCGTGGGAAGTTACATTTTCTCCAGCCCCCCACTTAAATTGCATGCTGACACATGCCAGCCACCTCCTCATTTCCAGGTGAACACGCAAGCAACACCCAGCAAAATTCCGGGGTGGTGGCCATGAATATGGCCTCTACTTAATTAAGTAGGTCCAAAAACGAGGGTGGTGGTCAACATACATTTATGGGGCCCCTCGACAATTGTAAGTTACATTCTTTAAGGTCCCCCGCTCCAAAATGGTACCTAAGGGGGTAGGATTTCTCTTAAGACCCTTTTTTGTCAAGGCTTTCGGGTTCGTTATTTTGCAGGTGGCGTCATCACGTGGAACCACATGACTGCTGTGCTTACTGCCTCTTACCGGCAAGTAACGTCTCGAACGAAGAGGAAGTTCAGACCAACCAAACGAGCCACGGACCACCACCCGACAGCTGGGCTGAAGGAGAAAGCACGTTCTGGGGATGGGAAAGGCGAAAGCCCTACCCAACCCTCAAAGCCTGTGGCTCTTCCCTTGTCCAATTTTGGGCGAATGCCTTGAATCAATGCATCTACTGTAAAATATGCCAAAAAGTATGCATATAGCTGCTCACAAGTCTGTGACTATAGGATACTTGAGCGACCAAGTCTGGGGAAGGGCTTCCCTCACACCGCCCTCACGCCGCCCCGTCCGCCCTCGGGACCCCCGCCGCGTGGAACCCACCCCGCGCCTTCCGTGGGCGTCCAGGATAAGATCACGGGCGCCACGGAGCCGCCCACCAAGCTGGTGAAGTAGAGCCCCGCGTCGGCCATCAGTTCGGGCGTGGTGAAGGTCAACTGCCCGGCCTCACCGTAGTACTCCTGCACCACGAAGCGCGACGGGGGCGTTCTTGGAAGGTCGGCTTTGAAGTCGGCAAATAACCCTTTTTGCCGACTTCAAAGCCGACCTGGAGCAATCCACGAATTGAGTCCAACTGCCGCTGCCTGTCTAAAGATCTCTTCATGAACTTCTCCCGACTCTCCCCCAACGACACATCGGGACACCAAAGAAGACTCCCAGCATATAGTTGAAGAACCCTCTTGGCTATCCTATAGGTACCCCAGTAGGATCCTAGTTCAGGTCACTTAACCTCTGTTGGTCAAAAAGGCTTCTGCAGACTCCGGGAATTGCTGCTTGCAAGGCCCTTGGCCTCTCCCGCTCCATGTGTTCTTCCTGTCCGAAGAACAAAGCCCTTGGAGACCCCCGACGGTCCGGGTGGGTCGAATCCACTCTCCCTGAATCCACTCAGGGCTACGTGGATGGGCCTCGAGTTCGGAGCACGGGTTTCTTCATACCCCCCAACAGGTGGTGAACCGGGTTTCTGGTCCTCGGAGTGTACACCCTGGAAGACTAACATGGACCCTGAAAAACCACTGGTTGGTAGAGGAAAACACTCTTCCAGGGGGCCATTGTCAGGGTCTATGTTAGTTTTCGGGAGTGTGAGTCCCTAGGTCACCGTGTCCATGCGATGGTATATATGATTTGGTGGCCAGCACCAGGGGTGTAGCTCGGCAATCGTTGCCCTGCGTTCGGTTCGGGCAGGTTGACTCAGGTTGACCCATGCGTTGGGGGCTTCTCTCTTTTTCAATACACACCAACACTCTTCAAAGGAGAGTTCGTTGGTTCAATTGTCACCCATCCAACCTGCGGCTCCTGCGTTGGTCCATCCAAAGCGCCCCAACAGATCTTCAGCTGTGCGGCCTTGTTGCGAACCATGCCAAGGTCCAGGTGAAGGCGTAAAAGCAACAAACTCTTTGCCAGTGATAGGGCCAGAGAATGGATATCCATGCATTTGAGTGATGGACACCATCTCTAGTCATGGTTGCTATAGGAAGCTATTCAGCACGGCATACAATCCCGTCTACAGTCGACGTCAAGGTGAACCACGGGCGCCAAGCCAAACCATAGATCTTGTCCAACCTTCACTTAAAGGAAGGGCCACGAAACGAAACTACTATATATGTATATATATTTATATATATTAATAACTGTCTGCTTTCACCTTTCACTATCTTCAGCACATAACGTTACACAACCCATCTCTAGCAGGCAGTTGGACTATGATGTTATTTTGACTCTGCGGGTGAATGGCTTTGGGAGTTGCAAGTCTCGCAAGGATGGCTCAAAGGGGCTTAACAGGGTCCAACACAATACAAAGATACTGACCGTACTTCCACCCGAGAATCTGAATCGGACGCACCACCCGGGTGTGCTCGCAAGACCCTGCGGTCTCTGCGGAGAGGAAAAATCTTGGCACAAGGGACAAGGTACCATTCCCTCGCTGCCTTCTTCTGTGTTCGTATACGCACTCGTCCCCAAAGGCAAATGTGAGAAAGTGCGGGTAATACAACAAACAAAACCATGCATTGGCGGGCCGCCTGCAAACGACTACAACCAAAAAAACATCATCTTCAGGGTGGAAAGCAAGGTCACACTTCACAAGGGGCGACTTAAAAAAATGTACTTTGGGGGCTATGCACACAATTATATATATATATATATACATTACATGTGTACATCACTACTGTTCAGAGTACCTCCCAGAATT